CATTATATAAATAGTTAATATAGAATTCCGTAAATTTATTTAATATATGTACGTACGAATTAATAAATTAAAAAATTAAATTTTAAACATAATGTATTCTAAGCTTATATAAGATATTTTATTATACAAATTAATATCTTGTTGGGAACTTATTCAATGTTTCATATTATTTAATAATAAACTATATCAAAATGCCAGATGTTAAATTGAAAAATTAAGTTGTAAGAATTCAAATTCTATTATGAATTTTCTAATAATTTTAAGACAATCTCAATCATCTCTTTTTAAAATAATTCCGATCTAAAAGTTTACAAAAATACTTGAAAAATTTTGAAACCTTTTTTGATTTTGATAAAAATGGATAAATAGCAAAACTGTTTTTACAAAAAAAAAAAAAAAAAATAATTAAGTTTTTGTTTTAAAAATAAATTTTTTATGTACACTAAGTCCTCGAAATACGATATCTTTTAATACGACATTTCGAGTTACGACATGATATAAATTTGGACCATTTTAATTCGGCTTGCGACAATCTTCCTGATGCGACATTAAAAATTTAAAAAAAAATTATTTTTTTCACGAATTTTTCTGATTTTTGAATAAAAATCTGTATTGAATTTAGTTATAAGGCAAGTCTAAAACACATACATACTTCAATAATGAACTCTTTCTAGTTAAAAATTCTATAGTCATGAGTTTAAAAATACGAATCGAAATGCTGTACATATCAACCTAATCTAATTTTTTTTTATTTATTTTTGTTACAAAATTGAATTGTTTTTTTTTATTTATTATATTTTGCTGTTTTTTTTTTTTAACTTTGATACCTTTTTTTAAAAAACAGGTGAATTATATTATAAAATAGTTTTTCTAATTCACTTTTTGTTTCCGTACATTTTTTTTTTCCTCCCCAAACGACAATTCGAGTTACGACATAAATTTCTGAAACCAAAAATGTCGTATCTTGTGGACTTAGTTTATTTACCATAAGGACCAGAAAGTCTGGTATATATATTTACATAATATCATTTTTATAAGGTAAAAAACCCAATTATAATATTCTATATAAAGAGGGGTTTGTATTTCCAGTATATATATAATAAAATAAAATTTTTAATTAATTTTTAAAAATAAATTTTAATAAATTATTTAATATTTTTTTTTTAATTTTACGTATATTTTTTTGTAATTATGTTTATTAATTCCAATTAGCTTTCTACTATTAAGTATCTGCTACGAGTACAATGCCTTAAAAATAAAATACATATTCTCAATTTAAAATTATTAAAAAATATTTTATAAAAATTTATTAATACCTTTTATTGATAATTTAATTTTTAATTGAAAAAAACGATTTACATAATGTCTCTGTCTATTTAAGAAAATTGTTTTTCTATTAGTATTCCAATAATTTGGATTTAATTGCTATGTAATGGGTATTTTTAATAATTTTTCATGTGAAATTTATTATTATTTTAATTTTTAAAAGCTTCACAATTCAAAATTAGAAAATTTTTGATTTTATTTTTTGTTATTGAATTTACAATTAAAAATTCTGTTAATAAAAATTTTATTTTAATTGTTTAAATAGAAAACAAACTGTTGCCAAATATTCTCTTTTTTGTTTTTTAATTATTCAATCTTATTTTCACGTATAATATTTTCAAATTTTTTCTTTTTTAATTAAATTAAAATATTTTTTTGATTACACTTTTCATTTAAAATTTTAACTAAATTAAATTTTTTTTTTGCAACTATATATATTTGAATCACGAAATTTCTTTTAATCCAAAAATTCAGAAATTTCTTTAATCCAAAAAAATGCACGGCACGGATAAAGTATCTTCAAATGTATGCAAAAATCCCTTTACCACATTAATAGTTTAGGTATAGAAAATAAAAAAAATTTTTTTTTTATTTTTTAGATCCGTTCATGACCAGTTATTTTCACGTGCTCGAATCAGACTGATTTAAAATTTTATGCATTTCGACTATTTGTAAACATTTAAAACTCATAATATACAAACACACAATTGTTATCTACATTGTATATACATAAATTTTTCTTTTTATTTGGGGGCTAACAGAATTCAAGTTCAAATTTTAACGTTATTTTTATTATGACTATATTATAATTTCAACAATAACTTTTCTTAATACAAAAAATTTTTTTTGTTTTTTGTAAATAAAAGCTTGTTGTAATAATCCGGATAATAACAACGATAATAATACACCAACAACAATAATGAATTTATTTCTATATTAATTTTAAATTTGTTAAAGATTTCTTTATTTTTCTCCAGTAAGAGAAAAGCTTAGTCAGAACAAAATTATATGCTTTATTCTTTTTTTCTTTGAATGTCCCTCAGGACAGGAATAAGGTTCTGAAAATTTTATTTTTAACTCTTATATTTCTTATATCTTTAAGCCTTAATTTTTAAGGCTTAAAGATATAAGAAATATTTTTGCAGGAGCATTATAAAACGAATTTTAATATTTAAATTATGTTGGTTGGGCATAGTATTTGTGTATAATTAATATACATATGAACATACACAAATGTATGTACATACATACATATATAAATTATATAAAAATTTTTATATTTTTAAGATTTAGAAATTATAAAGAATTTAGAATTGTAGTATACATTATGTAGATAAGGAAATATAATTTTAATAACGGACTTTCCAGGTTTTTTTAATACATACATTCAATATTTTTATAATTCCTATACATATATATGTATATGCAATGCCAATAAATATATATTATTATTTCTTCTATTTATATTTTATGTATCTTGTAACCATAATATTATGTATATGCAAATATATGACCCGGTATTCTAAAGTGCTACTTGTTGCTTCATTTTCATTCTAAAAACACAATTTCTACAATTTTGTAAAAAGAAAGGTATGTATGTATATCTACGTCTAGTATTGTATTGTATAGTTATTATTATCAAAGAGTTTAATTTTTTTTTGTAATATTAGGGGAATATTATTATTTAATGCGCATGTCAAAAGCTTCTTACAGTTATTATTGATGAATTGTTGAAAACTGTAATATTAAGTGTAATCTATTGATGAGTTTTATTGTTGAATGAAATTATATTTTGTATTCCAGTTTGAATAAGAAAGGAAGATGGTAATAATTAAAATAAATAACAAATAATGTAAACAGAAATTTTGAGTGTAGAATTAATAATTTAAAATCAATTTATTCAAAATAAAACCTAAATTACATACATATTGTTAAATATATTCAAATTGTAATTAAACGAAGGAATTTTATAACTAAACGAAATAACGAAAACATATCATAGTATTTCAAAGAGTATATCAAAGAGTATAGTATTTCAAAAATCCTTTGGGAATAGGCACTAGCATAAATTATTAATGAAAGTTCAAATTTATTATTAGTGCAAGAGCACGTTTATTTTTAAATAATTTTTATTTATCAATAAATTTTAATTATAAATATTTTCTTAAATTGATTAAAATTAATATTTCTTTATTAGTTATACCTCAATTCTAATTCTAACAGTAAAAGACAACTCTATATACTCTCTATGAATAATTATTTTTGCAAAACTAAAAATTGTATACTTGCCTAAGCCCTTATTCGGGATTCAGTTGATATTGGTTCTTTTATTAATTATATTGACAATTATACAATAAATACTATATTGAATATAAAATTATATTGATCTAATTAATTTATAAAATATTTTCAAACTCATTTTATAAATCAATTTATAAATGATTTCAAACTCATTGAAGAAAAATAAAGAATAAGAATAAAGGCAAAAGACAATATTAAAGATTTATCTATTTTAAATTACAGTTTTGTGAAGGCAAAATAATAAATAATGTGAATGCTAAAAATACACCTCACGCGTTAAAAAAAAGGTGTCTACCTTATTATTTATTAAAGTGATAATTTTCTCACTTAATTTTTATTGCATATATATATTCTCCATATATATAGAGAGAATTAATTAATTTTTTATTATATAACAACACCTAATTTAATAATAAAAAATTTTGCATATTTATAGTTAAATTTTTTATTTTTCTTTAAAAAAAATATATATCTATCCGTATATATTTAAATTACCTTTGATTTTTTTTTTTGGAATTAAGAAAATTATATTAATTAAATGTTGAAAAATCGAAAATTTACTGTTTAAATTGGAATTATCTAGTAAAATTTAGTTTTAAAAAAATATTCAATTGATTCAATTTGATTTTACTGGACATAAATCAATTATTAAATTTTTACAAATTCGCTACATAGGTACATTCATACAAACATACATAGTCATTTGTGAATTTTGCAAAACTTTATTTATTTTTAGAATCGATTAGAATAATGCTTTAAGAACTTTAACTATACTTATAACTTAAAATTAAAAAAAAAGATAATTAATTAAACTTTTCTTTGTTATTATATAATTGGTATCCTTTCTTTGTATATAGTATAATACAAAGAAAGGATACTAATAAGATAATGCAAATATGTAATCGTAATACATACTTAATATATTTATGATCTATATAATATATGGAGTAAATAATTTAATATTATTTATTACAAAAAATTTGTAAATAACAACTTCTTATATTATATTTTGCATTATTTAAATTTTCTTCTTTATATTATGTATGTTATCTCTTACTACTTTCCCATTTAGGCACTTTAGGAATGAAATCAGTATATATAATTTATATATATATATATATATATATATATTATGAATGAAGTGTATATTCTTGGGTATTTAATAAATGCACACATACATATATTTTAAACGTTGTTTACATTATTTGATATCAGTTTAATATCTTATTTGTAATATCAATAAGAAGTATAATTCATTAATCCTGTTTTTATCATTAAAATATACCGATATGTAGATAAAAAAACATTTAATATAAATATGGTTATTATACATAAATTCATTAGCATTTATATTTTTCATTAGTAAAGTTAAAATATATAAAACTATTATATGACAAAATGAAATTATTGCAGAAATTTATATTTAAAATAATAATTTTATTTTTAATTATTATTGGAATTACTGAAGGAAAATATTCTAAATTTGTTACTTTTGCTAAAAATATAAGTATATATATATAAATAAATATATATAATTATGTATATATATATATAGTTTTCATTTAATTTATTAAAAATATAAATGTACTTGAATATATTGTGTATATTATTCAATTGATATCTTATATCAATAATTTTAATAATTTTATTATATTGTTTTCATTTATAGGAAATGTGAACACAGATTTAAAAAATTTCTTAGAAGATATAAGAAATCGAATGTGCCATCCTATATCAAAATTAAAATTACCACCATTGGATACTTTTACAATTGAAAATTATCAACATAATTTAACTGGCGGCGAATTAGGAAAGTAAGTGCTGCATATATGTATTATGTTTGTACTTAATAAGATTTTAAGAGGAAATTAACTTAAAAATTTTTTTAATTCTTTTTTACAGTTTGGACTTTTTAGCAAAAAAGATTGAAGCTGTTGGTCTATCAGATTTTATTGTTAAAGATTTACATTTATATTTTCTAAATCCAAGTATTGTAATTGATATCTATGTTCCAAAAGAAATAATTAATATTGATTACAAATTGAATGGTACAATAGCTGAACTCTTTCAAATAAATGCAGAAAGTGATATGAAGTAATAATAATAATATAGCTATGTTTATATAAGATTAGAAGATTAATATTATATATTAAATTATTAGAAGATTGATATTATATCAATATAAAAAATATAAATTCAAAATGTAAATTAAATAATTAAAAAAAAAACTTTCTTCTAATCTTATAACATTATACATATATATAGCGTATATTAATGATAAAAAATTAATAATAAATTGAATATTATGTATAGTTTTAAATTTGAAAAAATTGGATTTCGTTTTGAGGCAAAAATTTTAGTTGCAAAAAATTTAAGAATTTCAGTTCAAAAATTAGAGGTAAGATACATTTTGATTTTTCTTAAATAATAAACAAAAACTTATTTTTTTGTTTTTTTTTAAATGCATAATGATTGAATTAAGTTTTTGTTAGATTGTAGCATTTTGTTTTACGACTATTAGAAAAAACACAAGATTTAAACCTGTGGTTTTTATGAAAATTCAGTTTCAGTATGTAAATGTGCCTAAGTTGAAGTGTGGTGTAAAGTTCTAAAAATGTGAAATAAAACCAGAATTTGCTTAAAAGATCTTGTTAAATAAAAGAGGAGAAGAAAAAATTTCTTTTAATTTGAGAAACAAATTTTAATTTTGCTCCGTTCGCAACATAGACTATCAAAGCTGGTTTTCCACTATTGAGGTAAACCAATTTTGAATACAGGAAAATTAGGCTTTATCAGATAAAGTGCCTATGTTGCGAACGGAGCAAATTTAAAGTTTTTTTTCTCTATTATTAACATAAGCAAAAATAAAGTGTTTTTCGAATTAAAGAAATTTTTTCTTCTTTTAAACATATTAAATGATGTTTTCGAAAATACTTTAATAACAAAACTTAATTGTATTGTAACACAAAAATTTTAGAAAATTCAACTTAAATCATTTTAGAAAAGGGTTAATTTTGAAAATTTCTAAAATAAATAAATTTTAAAAGATAAATTAAATAAAACAATAGAACTTAAATTTCAATTTCATTAAAAAACAAAAAATATACGTGAATATTATTCACTTTTCCTTATCCGTTTTCTAATTTATCTAAATACTTAATTCGTATTCGAATAATTTAAAAATAAATAATACATTTTTTTTATTATTTTTTCATTTTATTACCCATTTTATAAACGTTGTTAGAAATTGTTTTGTTCAAAATCTATAAAAATTATTTACAGTCTATTAACTTTATTTATATATACACATAGATAATATTTTTTTACATAATAAAAATATTTATAAAATTTTAAAATTTTAATTAATTTTCTTTTTACAATTCAAGCCATATATTAATAAATTTGATTTACGCATCAATAATTTATTTCCCGATGAAGAAGTTAATGATTTTATTAATCAAATGATAAAGGATTTAGCACCTGAAATTATTATTGATTACTGGAAAGCTAAAAAACCTGAATTAATTTTGTATATTGAAAAGGTAAAAATTCATTTTAGAGAATATCAATAAAATTAAATAATACAATATACTTTAATATATTTACAATATTATTGTATATTTCTTTATTTCATTTTATTATTTATATTATTTCTTTTTATTATTATTATTTTGTAAATTTATTTATTTTATATTTTAAGGTTGTTGCCGATTTATTAAAAGGTTATTCCATATTGGATATTTCAAGATTAATAAAAAATTTAAAGAAATTTTTTGATGAAAATGATCCTGAACCAAATTGTAAATCAAAAAGGCTCTAATATATATAATATATAAAAATAACAATTATAAAATCATTAATTTTTTAATTAAATATTATCAGACATTTATTAAAGTTTATTTCAAAAAAAAAAAAACGTAAAACCTTTATCAAAATCTTAATTAAAATTTAGATGAAATTTTTATTTAAAAAGTAGAAACATGTATGTATGTCCTATATCAAATACATATCGTCGGTTGAGTTCTATTTTGATCCATAAGTTCCACAATACTTAAGACCACTCTTGTAGGTTTTCGAGGATAATCTTTCATTATAATATGTAATCAGTTTTATGCTATCTCATTTAGTTTCATAGATACGTAGATATCGTTTTGATCCACCTTCACTTATAATTCGATTTGGGACGCTTTTTCAAATAGATCAAAATAGAACTCAACCGACGATATAATAATAATTGCTTAATAAAATTATTTTGTTTAGATGTTCAAATTTTGAATATGTGAGTTGAATGAATTTATATAAATTTTTATATTTTTTTTTTTTTCATTTATCTACGTTAAGATTTAGTACGCATCGTCGCATCATAGAGTCCCACACTACATATTATTAATTTTGTTTTTGATATAGAGGTACATACATTAAAGCTTTTATATACATACAAGTCTACTTATCTATACATTATTAAAGTTAGCATATTAAAATTTTTTAATTTTAATTTAATTAAAAATGAAATTTAATAAAACTTATATTCAAAGTTATTAAATATGTTATAAATAGTACATATAGGATTTTACGAATTTCAAGTCAAAGTTTAAAATTATGTATTGCCATAAATTAAAGATGAATAATATCAAATATAATCATAAAATAATTAAATCATAATTTTCATTTATTCAATAACCAAAATGAAAATAATTCAAATTTTATTTTTGATTAAGTGACTAAAGTTCTTTTTTTATAACATTAAGTTAATAAAGGCTATTAAAAATTCAATAAATTTATTGATAATAAAAATATGATATAAACTATAATATTGTTATGTAGAATATTTTTAAAGTTGAGAACCAATAACAAATTATATTACCTTTTTTTTTAATAAATAAGGTATTGGTGTCTTAAAATTCTCTACAAAATATCCTAGCCTTAATAAACAGCCTGTTTTGGAATCAAATTAGATTTTAAGATAAAATTTTTTTTCAGAATGAAACAGATCCAATTTCTTTATAAAAATTATACTTTCAAAAATTTAATTAATGAGTTTTAAATAATCTTTTGGCTAATTTCCCAGCTGACTTCAAATAATCTAATTAATGTTTTTTTTTCTTAATAAGATGTACGTTAACTCTTTCAAATAGTTTGATTTTGGTTTTCGCTAAAAATTTTTCTTATCTAAAAAAATAAAAATTTATATTACTTTTAAATATGTACTTTGAAAATATCACTAAAGTTTATTTAATAAAAATTTAATTACAATTTCCATTCGCTAAAATATTTACTATGCAAGCTTAAACTTATGCAAGTAGGGTACAGATTTATTTAAATATACAGTAGAATACTTTTCCAATTGACCATAAATGTTGTAAATAGCAATAAATTATATTAAAAACTGCAATGAGAATAATTTATATTAATATAGAGACGAAAAAAGAACATTCGTATAGAAAAAAAAGTGTGAGCAAAGTATTTGTGTTTATTGAGTCTAGAACTAAAGATAACTAAAGTTGGGAGTAAATTATTAATGACGAAATTTAATTTTAATATATCAAATTATTACTTATTTTTTTCACATACTATTAATCTTTTACTTTTAAATTAAGATAAGATAATATATATATAATCTTTAATTAATCAATTCCTAATATGCTTAATATAATTATATTGTATTTAATTTTTTTTTATCAAATTATTTGTAATTTTAATTTAATCTTAAATTTCAAACTTTTATCTTTCTATTTTTTGATTACTATTACCATCTTACCTATATTAAAAAGCATTGAATATTAAAAATATTGCTTAATCATAATTAAATCGTGCTCGGTGTTATAACACAGTATAAATTTATTAACTAAATATAATTTTTAAAAATTGTTATTAAAAATTTAAAAATATTGATTTATAAATTATAAAAACTAGTTAACATAATAAAATGAATATACTTTTTATAATATTATTTTTAACAATTGGATTTAATGAAAGTAATGGAAAACACATAGTTCCTGACATATTTCCACTTGATATGGCTCCAAAAGGACCATTGGAAGATAAATTTTTAAATATGATTAAAGAATTTACAGATCGTATGTGTCACGAAATAACAAGATTAAATATTCCACGATTGGATCCATTTAATTTGGAGTTTTTTGATATTGATTTCATACCAAAGTAATTAAGGAATTGTATAGCCATAATATAGTTATCCATATATATATATATATAAATAAATTCAAAATATACATATATATATATATATATATATATATATATATATATATATATATGTATATTTTGAATTTAAATAATCTTCCATTTCCATGTTTTCGATAACGTGTCACAATTAAGAGATTAATATTATTATTTAAAAGTTTTATAATTTTAAGAATAAAATCAAAAATGAAATTGAGATGCGTATTAGAAATATGGGTCAACATTAAAGTATCTCATTTAAGTTGTCAATAATTGTGATACACACCAATTTTAAAATTTAAAACAGTTACAACATCTTATCAATTTCAATATTTTTCAATTAATATTTAATTTTCAATCAAAACTTATAAGTTCAAAAGTAAATATTTTGAGAATTTTTGAATTTAGTATTCGAATTTAAAATAAAATATAATTCAGTACCTATTGTTTATTCAGTTTTGTGTACCAATATAAAAAAATTTTGGATAATTTTAATTCTAAATTTTTATTATTTTTGACTGTACTAAAAAATCTGTTTACATTTCTGTTAAATTTTTGTAGCTTTGAAATAAAACTAGAAGATATAGAAGTTAGTCGTCTGTCATATTTAGAAATTCCGAAATTAAAAATTAATATGGCATTTCAAAAAATTGATGCAAAAATTCAACTTGATAATTTACAATTAATGAGTAACTACAAACTAAAAGGAAAAATACCTGGTTTAATGGATATTGATGGTGAAGGAAAACTAAGGTACCTAAACGAAAATTTCAAATATTGCATAAATTCTAATTTATATAATAGAATATTAATGTATAATTTGCATTACTTTTTATATAAAGTGTTGATATAGGAGTTACCATTGAAGTTTTAGTCCAATTAAAAACATCTATAGACAAAAAATTGTCAATAAAAATTCTAAAATTAGAGGTAAGAAAACATGAATTTCAATTTAAAATAGCTAATTTGTGCATTTTTAAATTTAAAATTGATTTCGTAAACTTGTTTTTATTTAAACGTAAATTTAGTTTAATTAAACATATTACATCTCTCATCATTTTATAATTTAAGTAAAAAACTAATTTGGGTTTTATTTTGTTATTGAATTAATTATGTAAAACGTAACTAGCTTTGATATTTCTTTTGCAGCCAAAATTGATTGTTAATAAATTTAGAATAACAGGCTTGTTTGAAGACGAAGAATTGAATCAATTTTTTGAAGACATGATACAAGATTTGGCCTCTGAAATATTTGATGATTTTTGGACTGAAAACGAACAAATGATAATTGAATTGTTGGAACCGGTAATCGAACTATTACAAGTAAATTTTTTTCTTATTTACAATTTTTCTTTTTTCTTTTTATAGTTCTTAAGTGCACCTTTTGATGATTTAACACCAATGGAACTACTGGCTTTGCTTACATCAGGAGAACCTATCTTTAATGAAACTGATCCACCACCAAACTGTAAAGAATCATCAGTATTCTTAGAGAACATTCAGAAAGTTAGAAAAGTATAAATTCAAATCAAAAACTTTGCAAAATAATTTTATTTTATTCCGAAATTTTGTGTAATTATTTCAAAGAAATAAAGTTTTTTAAGTAGCCAAATATTTCTTTTGCCCTAAAACTATTTATTTTTTTTTATGCAAATTGGTTAGGTAAAATAAAATTATAACAAAACCGATCCTTAAAATTTGCTCTCTAATTTTTATATAATTATAGCGCAATTTAACTTTTTTTGAAGAATGGAAATAGAAGGGTTAATAGATTTTGCTAAGCAGAATGACGTCTTGAGATTCTAAATTAGGACTTAGATGAGATTTAGTTTTAACTAAATTCTTAATATAAAGCAAGTTCGATAAGTCCAAACTGCAACATCTGCAAAAATGACATGTTCGAAAGTCAGAGTTGTGCTTAAAATTCTAAAGGAGTTTTTGAACTTTTTACTACGTTTTCAGTTATAACTAAGTTTAAGTTTTAATTAATAACTTTTGCAAAAATATAAACTGGAAAACCATAATAGAAAATTGTTTCATACTACAAAATTAAAATATTCAGTTTCTGCAGATTTGTAAATATGCTTGAAAAGACTAATAAGATTTAATTTGGAAGTTGTAGTGAATGTTTGAATTATTGAAAACGAAGTGTGGGAACACTTTTAAAATCGAAATTCAATATTCTAAAATAAAAATAGCAAAAAACACACTTCGAACGTTAAAACAATTTAAATCCTTTTTCAGTGCGTTGACTTATCTCTAAAATTATTACTGTTCAAATTATTTGTACTATCAAGTAATTGTAATTATAATATTAATCTCTTACATATATTTCGCGATTTATTAATTTTAAGTAAAAAAAGACTTTTGGGAAAAAATAAATGAAAACAAAACATTGTTTGTACATTTATTTATACGTTTTTTTAAATAATGTTTTTATTTAAATTTACGTAATATATTATAAGTTCGTATTGAACATTTCGCACTTATATTTGGGATTGAGCTTGTTTTGGAGGTTCTTTTAAATGATCTGGCAATTCTTGAATTTCAACTTTTGTACATTTCATTCCTACACCTTCTGGCAAATTTCTTTGAATATATTCTAAGAACGTATCTAACGTTGATTCTGTTAGCTTATGAAAAGTCATATATCGATAATATGTTCTAATTTCGTATTGAACTCTATGTTTTTTATATATGTGAACAGATTTCAATAAAGTCAGACGATCATGGTTTGCTTTTCGTTGTGCCCAACTAAAATTTAAGTTTTTTTATTAAAAAATTTTTATAAGGAATTTACTTATCAATTTAACATACCAATTCCCAATTTCTATACCTAGATGCTCCGCTGCATTTGTGGCAAACCATGAATAACTTTTTAAAACAGCTGGATCAGCACTTTTAACCTCAATTTCTAAACGAGAAAATAATTTATCCTTCTCAGTTTCGTCTTTTTCTGGAATTGGAAAAAATTCCGATTTTTGAGGATTAACTTCATTTGAAAAATCTGTTTGGCTAATCGCATATTTTGATAAATTTCCTTGTGAAAGCAATCGTTGGGGTTTGAATTTTGCTAATAACTATAGGATGAAAATGATTCAAAAAAGGAAAATTAAGTATAATGAAATAAAAAATTATTTACCGAAAGCATTTTAACGGAATTGATAGTTTTGTGTGCTTGGTTATTGTTTACACTTTGCAATCCCTTTTTCTCTTCAATTATATTTTCTAATTTATAAGTACATACTTATTTAGTGTATTTTGTAAATAGCCTAGTTAATAGTTATACAATATAATATACAATTAATTATATGACATACCGAATTCAATCGTAAAAATGTCAAAATATGTTATAAAGAAAATATTACTTAAAATCGACTTGAGTTTGACATTAGATGACAGCAATAATTATATATGTATGTATTAATTTATCATTTTCAATCTTTCAATTCGAGTATATGCAGTGAAATCAAAACTTGATTTGACTTGATAGTTTCGTTTCAAGTGCTCGAAATCCACTTTTAGTCGGCTTATAAACGTGCAAGCTGCATAAAATGTAGTAATTGTGCTTGTTTACCATTTTCGTTGTGTTGTGGCATTAATGTCTTTATATCTAACAAGTCCCAATACTCAATTTTTTTTACGAAATATTACGAATTTTTGGCTTCGTTGCTGGTTTTTTCTTTAAATGCCACTGATCGTGTCATATTTTTTATTATTTTTTTCTTTTTTTTTACGTAAAAAAGAGTTTAACATTTTAAAAAATCTCAAGATATTATACACATTTTTTAAAAAGCTTCCCAATTCCCATTTAAATTCTATTGCACGAAAAAGAAAGAAAGGTAGGAGGAAAGAAAAAATGATAAAAAATTTCAAATTCATATTTCAGTATGGTTTCAAATGTTAATGAGGAAGGATGTATGATTTTTCATGCACATTTTGTATTTCCCAATAAGGTAAGTTGAGTAGTTTCGGCTAACAAAAATGTTAGTAGAAGTAATATAGTTTGATACATTTCAACAATTTGAATTATCTCATTTCGGTTATTTATACGTTACTTATAAAATTGTTTCAAATAATATTTTTTTTTTTTTTTTTTCCTTTGTTCACCTAGAAGGAGCTTTTTACTACGTATTTATTTTTTCTTTACTACGTATTTATATCAATATTTAATAATTATCTTTCATTAATTATATTTTCAACTTGACACCACAGTTACGTCCCATATCTTGAGTTAACTTACCCTATGAGAAAAAAAAAGCTGTTCACGTAAAAATAATGAAATGCTTTCAATAAAATATAAAACATTGAAGGCGAAGGTTGTGCTTGTTGTTTTTCCGCTGTTTCAAGAATTTTAAAATAATTCTGAATGAAATATATATTTCATTCAGAATTAATATATATATATATATATTAATATATTTTCTTGATTTTTCAAATATATTTTTAGAATTTTACCTGCTTTATATAAGTGTAATCGTTTACACTGTGTAAATTTATTTTAATATATTTTCTCAAAAAATAGCCACTTCGATTTAAAAAAACCCATATAAAATAAGGTCGTGTTTTCAAGTTTCTCTCTGAGCATTGGGACTTGTTGGATATAAAGACATTAGTGGCATAATATTTTACTGTATTAAAAAAGAAACTTAGATTAGACATAAGAAAAAATGTACGACTAACAGCAATATCTGAGTGTTAAGAGAGAGCAACAATTCGAATGTGACGAATTTACATTTCTTTTTATATAAGCTACATGAGCCCTTTAATAACATAATAAATACTTTTTTAATTTTTTGATTGAAAAAACTGATAATTTAGTTTAGTAAAGCTGATATTTAGTTTAATTAAAAGTATGACCTGGTGCATGTATTGTCAAAATCGAAATTTGAATAGATAAACTTTAAACATTAAAATGCACTATTTGTACAATAATTATTGACATTCTTGACAAATAAAATAGCTGTCAGCCGTGGTAACAGTATTTCTGTCAGCCGTGATATCAATCATTATATTACTAATGTCAAAGTTTTCTTGTATTTAATGTGATTGTAATTATATTAAGCATTTTAAAATATTTTTTTTTAAATTGAATAGAATGCATTAGTAATTGAGAGAATTTATTATAAAAACAAGGCTTATAATAATTGTAAAATAAGGAGTTATAAAGAGAAATATAATCTATGATATCAAGATTTTCTTATAGATTATTAAATTTTCGAGGTGTTTGACAATTTCAGATTGATTTAATCGATTTTTCCTTTCATTATGGTAAGAAGAAAATTTCAAGCATTCATAATTAAATTATAAATTAGAAATACAATTTATCTGTTTTTAAGGAGTTGTGAAAATATTGCTCAAATAGGGACTTTGGTAAATAATATAATGCCAGAAAATTTAGAACTACATCAACTTGAAGAGAATGTATCTCCGAATTCATCAAATAATTGGTTATCTAAAACTAAGTGTGCTTGTCCATACTTAGGTAAGTAAATAATAAAATTCGCTTTCATAACTTAAAAATCATTATTTTAAATATATAAACCAAATAAAGTTCACTTTTATTGTCCCAATTCAAATTTACTAAAAACATTTCTCTTCTTTTTTTTGTTTTTAAGGTATTATTTTAGCAACATTATCGTCGTTATTTTTCTCCCTATGTTCAGTGATTGTAAAAGGACTTGTTGATGTTAATCCTATGGAATTAGCATCTTTTAGGTACAAGGAAATCTACAATTTTATTATTTATAATAAAATTCTTAGAAAAAATTTAATTTTTGTAGATTCATAGGTGTACTCTTACCAGCCATACCAATTGTGATATATAAAGAGCATCCAGTATTTCCAGAAGGGAAACGAATCATATTAATTTTAAGATGTTTTATGGGCACGACCGGTTTAATGTTAAGTTTTTATGCTTTCCGTCATATGCCACTAGCTGACGCTAGCGTTATAATATTTTCTACACCAGTATTTGTTGCAATATTTGCTCGTCTATTTTTAAAAGAACCATGCGGTTTGTTTAATATTTTAACAATTATATTAACATTAGTTGGTGTTGTATTGATTACAAGACCGCCATTTATATTCGGAGACTTATCACCAACGGTATCAGATGAAATTTATTTGGACAAACAGCGCTTTGATGTATGGGGTCCGGTAGCAGCAATATCTTCAACTTTATTTGGTGCAAATGTTTATATATTATTAAGAGCATTGAAAAATTTACATTATTCGGTAATAATGACTAATTTTGGTGCTTTTGCATTAATATATACGATAATTGTATGTTGGTCAATTGGAGCTATATGCTGGCCAAAATGTGGGCTCGATAGATTTTTAGTTATTATATTAGCTGTTTTTAGTTTCTTGGGACAAATTTTATTAACTTTATCGTTACAAATTGAACAAGCTGGTCCTGTTGCTATAGCTAGATGTGCAGATATTGTATTTGCATTTATTTGGCAAGTTTTATTTTTTGATGAAAAACCAAATTCATATTCTGTTGTTGGAGCTTTGCTTGTAGTTAGTTCAGTTGCATTAACTGCGGTAAAAAAGTGGGCTATTTCATTGCCCCGAGATTCGATAACAAGAAAAAAATTAAAATTTTTACTAATGGAGTAAATAATCCAATAAATTTTTCTTACTAATATTAATTATGAATAATAATTTCGCATTAATAAGAAAAAACAATAGATGTAAACATTTTCAAAATTAGCTTTTAAATATGTTTTCAAATAAGCTTTATTTGTTGTAAATCATTGGTTTTAATTTATTATTAAATTTTCAATATCATATTAACAACTAATTTTATAACGAATTTCAAAATTTCGAAGTAAATTATAACAATTTTGAATTGAAAATTTTATTAAACATCAAAATTTTTCACAGGAAATGGATAATTTAAGAGAAAATATTTTTTCTTAATATGTAAGTAGGTGAAACATAATGTGCTTACTAAATATTACTTGACTTAAGTAGAGTATATGTTATTTTTATGAATCAAATCTAGTCAAATTTAAATACAATTTCCTATAAGATTAATTTATTTTAAAGTGTCATTTATTAAATTTTGACATAGTTATTTTTATTATAACAACTGCAAAACTTGCTTTGTCTGCCAAAAAGAAATGAATATTACTTTTTTTTTAGTGAAATTATGCTGCTTTGTTTTGTGTAAGAGCAAAAATATATACATAATAGATATTAAATGTAATATAATTCAAAATAGATTCTTAATTTCAATTAAAACCTAAATTAAGACTTTCGTAAAACAGTTTTTATCTTCAAATATCATTTGATCGTAAAAATGTATTAAATAAATGTAGATATAAAAATATTTTTTATTGTGTAATAAATTCATTATGCTTTGTTAAAAAATATCAAAGAATTTAAGGTAAGAAGGATTTTAGTTAATTTATCAGTATTTGAAAAATGTAGAATAAAAAACGAATATTGAAACTATTGATAAAATTATGTCAGTATTTAATAATTTAAATTATATATATATATATATATATATATAATTTGATAATTTTAAACTTAGTTAGTTGAATATTTATTTATTTATTTTATTTTAAGTTTTGATTATTTTACATTTTATTGTTGTTTGGGTTATTCTAAAACTACTTATCTACATAACCAAAATGTGAAATCATTAGGTACATCTAAAAAAATATAAAAGTGGAATTGTAAAATTAATTAAATTAAAATAAACTTTCTTTTTATTCGTAAAAAAGATATGTTTTATTTTTATGATAATTTTATATTAAATTTTTAGTCCAGTTTCGTATTAATTTCCAGAATATGTAATTTAAGAGTTAAAATTTTAAGCTTATTTTTCTTTTTCATTCTTTCACATTTTTCAGAGCGTGTTATTTTCTAGTTTCACTGATTTAATAAAGTTGCTAAATTAATTTTCTCTTGTAAGCCTGACAAAGTTATTCAAAGAAGACCTTTTTTTTTAGCTGGTTCTAAAATATAGAAGAAAATAAAACTATTTTCTTTTCGAATAATTTGAAATAAAAGTTCAAAGTTTTTCGTTAAAATATTTCGATTTTTATTTTTTAAATCTATCTACAATATGTAAATATCTAATTAAAAAGATAATTTAATACAATTTTATAACAAATATAACTTTATTTTTTTTTGTTTTTGAATAAATATAAAAGCCATTTTTTTTAAGTATTTTAAACAAAATAGGCATGCAATGATGCTTTTTCATATCGTCAAATTATTTATTAAAAATAGTTATAGTTTTTTCTCAAGTTAACAGGGGTTAAAATACCATAGTCTTATATAAAATTTATGCTAGCAAAAAAAATATTTCATTGAAAAATATAACTAGAATACTTGTAAAAAAATATTTAAGTTTAGCTAAATATAATACTATGAGTTTACATTAAATTCTTTAAGCAAATATAAAAATGAAAAATTAAAATAATGCATAAAATTAATTAAGAACTAAATTTGAGTTATTTTTTTTAAGATTTATGTTTACTTTTTTTTAAATCATCATGTTGTTTTAGTTTTGATTTTACATCTATATTTTCGTCGTTTGAAATTGAACTTTCACTATTAAATCGAACTGATGATATACGACTTTCACCTGAAAATAGTTTTAAACCATTGCTATCTAAGCTAGTAGATTTTTTTGAGCTACTGGATACACCAAGCAAAACAGGAGTTGATGTTTTTTGTTGTCTATCTGATGAACCTCCTGCAATAATTTCATTTTCATTTTTTGGAGAAGGTGTAGCAGAACCTAATAATGATCGTAAGAATAAACTAGCTAAAGAATCGTCTGTTAAAGATGTTGAATCGGTATTGCTACGTGTACGTTTTTGTAATTCTTGCGTTAAAAATTCACGAAGATTCAACGGTTTGCTGAATTTCTCATTTATAGTGGTATCTAAAGTATTGTCATTTTCAGCTTCAAACATCTACGAAAATATCGAAAATAGAAGAGAAATTTATATTAAAATATTATAATGTATATAATTAATATGTGTTAAATATAAAATATAATATATAAACGGACAAATTTACTTTATCATCATGTTTTCCCACGCGAGATTCTGCTGTTGTGTTTTTTAAGAATATTGGCATTGAAGTCCTTTCATTTTGCTTTTGAAAGATAAAACTGGAGGATGTGCTACTACTTAGCGCTTTACTCTGTCGTTGTTTTTTAAGCATTAAACTTGCCCATTCAAGGCCCATTTCTTCGAATTCTTTACCTATTTCACTGCTCGTATGTGAACTTGAAATTGTTTCTATACCAGAAATATCGTGTTTACTTTTAGTTTTGAGAAATGATTTTGGATCTTTATTTTCTTTAGAACTGCTACTACCGCCAGCAGTAGAAATTTTATTATCAAAAGAATGTTTAATGATATTTCGGCGCTTAAGTTCGGCCATAATATCTGGAAGGCTTTCGTAGGAATCCGATTTGGATATATTTGAGTGTTTGCCATTTTTATCGTGTTCATTTGTTGATAAGTTTTCAATTTTTTTATTCACTGTTTCTCCTGCTTTGGACTTTTTATCTTGTTCCAAATAATCTTTTAAAGTAGGAAATTTTTTTAAACACAATTCTTTTTCCTTGGACAATTCTTTGTCAGAGCTACTGAGATCAACTTCAGTTACTAATTGTGATGAGCTTATTTTCGATTGTGATTGATCAATTAGAGATTTGGAGTCTAAAAAATCAGTTGCTCCAATTTTCATGAAATATTCTTTTGGGGTCAAGAATTTTTTAAAAATTATTTGCTTAGAAACGTTTAGGGTACTATCATGATCAGTATTTGTTGTATTGCCAGAACGTTCTTGATTTTGAAAGCTAGCCATTGATGGAAACTTTTTAAAATTTATGTCTACATTTTGAGTGATTTCAAATAATTCTTCGTAAAGTTTTTTAACATAGGCACTTTTTTCCGGATCAAATTGTTCAATGTCCATATTATGTGCTTTAGCGTATTCTTCAAAGTTTGGATACTTTTGAAAATCAATATTAAAAGTGTCAATTGTATCACTGGCAATTGAGGTAATTTCTTGTTGTTTTTGTGGCTGAGATTCCTCTATAATTTTTTCTGGTACATAAGGCACAACTGAATCCTTAAGAGTTACATTTAAACGAGATGTAGCTGGAGTATCTATTTCTAAAATTGTTGATAATTCATGTGGAACATCTTCCACCAACTGTGGACTATAGCGTGATATTGAAGCTGGTGGTTTGTTCTTCCTAGCCGACTGTGGATCTACGGAAAGCTGTTTTGTAATTGAAACAGATGCCATATTAATCAATGTAGGCTTATTTATGAAAAATTGGTTAGGCTTTGGAATATCTTTTAGGAATGGTTCAAAATTTGTCTCATCAGTTTTTCCTTTAATATCAGGGCTTTCACGATTGTCTTGCGCAGTCAAAGGTCTTGAAAGGGAGATTCCACTATCTCTGCTGACACCGGTTAATTTATTTTTTTCAAGTTGAACCCTCTCAACGGAATCGTCTGGTTCTTTGTTGGGGGTTTCGGAAGTTGAATTTGTCGATGGTATAATATTCAAAATTTGTTTATTGTCAAGTAGTTTATTTGCATCTTGAGGCTTTGTTTCATCATTTTTCAACTTTTCTGATAGCTCAGCTTCGCTTTGTGGTTTTGATTTATGAATAATTTCTAAATATTCTGTTTCACTATTTGCACCACCATTTGATGACAAAGTTATTTCTAAAATTTTTTGTTTTTCCTTACGAACACGTTCAATCATTTCATTTAGTTCGGCAATCCGTTGAGTACAATTGTCTGTCATCTCTGTATATTTTTCTGCAAAAAAAAAAATTATCTTTTTTTGAAAATTTTTACAGAAAATAAATTATTTACCAAGCACTCTTTCTTCTGCACTAAATCCATCCGATTTTTGATCGGAAATTTTTTCTTGAATTTCGCCAGTTTTCTGCTTTCTTATTTTATTTTTCAAAATTGGCTTTGGAGATTCATAACTTTTAGTTTTACTTTTTTTAATGTGATGTTTTAGTGATTTTTTCCAAATGTCCTCGATCAAGCGCATGCTTTCTTCACTTTCTTCTGCTAATTTTTCATCTCTCTTCAAAGATTTTTCTATTTCACTAACAAAGGAGTAATTGTCTTCTATAAAATTTTGAATTCTATTTAAGCGTTCTTGTTGGTCATTATCTAATTCTAAATCAGATATATTATTTGCAGTATTTATAATTGAAGAACTTGGTGTTTGAACGTCGGAACTGCTTACTCCAAGCATTTGTATAGAATGTCTTGACATTCCCAGTAATCGTTGAATATATTGAACTAAACTAGGGTCGCACGATCTCTTTGTAACCGAGCTTTCCTTTTTCTCTACGCGTCGCTTATAGTCATTTTTTTTGTTAGATTCTTCGTTTTGCACTATTCGACTAGACACAATTTCAGAAACTTGTTCTAATGGTTGCGGTGTACGCTGAGTTTGTTTTGTAAGTATGCGTTTAGACTTTTCAAAAATTTTATTGTGGTTATAATTTTTAGCTAGTTGTTTTTGTTCATTCTTATCAATGAACTCACCTAATTCAGTGCGCATTGTTTCAGGAGGACTTTTGTAAACTGTGGAACTAGTATATTCTGAATTATCAACTTTTTTTATCGGAGTGCTAATTTTTTGAAAATTAGGCTTTTTTATAAACGGTTTTGTCTTCTGAATCAAACTAGATTTTTTTCTATAAGGGGTTTTTTGTTTTGCCTCTTTTACTTTTATTACAATTTCCATTGGTTTGTCGACTTTTATAAATTTTTTTTCGATATATGTAGAAGATTCATCTTGAGTATCCACACTTTTACTAGAAAACTCTACACTGGTCTCACTTGGAATATATTGAACTTTCATAGAATCTTCATGTTGTTTTTTGTTTTTGGATTCCTGATTTGATTTCATATGTCGTTCAGAATTCTCAGTTTCGTTTTTTGCCTTTTTCATTTCGTAGAATTGTCGTAATTTCATTTCTAAAATACTTTCCCGTTTTTTAAGTTCTTTTTCTCTTTTTTCTATGTCCTTTTTCTCTGAATTTTGGACAATTATTTTCTCTCTTTCATGGCGTACATCAGTGATCGAGTCAAACATAGTTTGAATGTTTTTGTTTGCGGTAGATTTTTCACTCTTTTCCAATTCTTTCATAAGATTAGCTTTTAAATTTTCAAGTTTACTTAAAAGTTGTTTAAGTTTTCTAGTTTTTTCATCATTAGCGCAGTTTTTTATATCTTTATTTATTTGTTGTGTTTGGTTTTCTACGTAATTAAGAAGAATCGAACAACAGCTATCTGACGAATTAAGAGTTCCGGAATCATCTTCCATGTAGGCTAAATTAATTCCTGTATATAAGTTATTTTCCTGCATTTGGGAAGCTTTTGGCTTAGTATTTTGGACATCCGGCAGTGTTATGGTAATCGGACGTTTTATAACGTTTTCAATACTTGAATTTATTTTATTAATTCTTTCGTTTTCCAACAATTTTAGGCGAACTTCAGTCATATTTTCCTGAAATTGAATTTATTTAGTTAAAGTTTGAAGTATTTCAAATTTATACTTACGTCAGTATAAGACTTGGGTAGTTGCTTATCTTTTGTTAAAGCATCTAACTTTGCTTCCAGCATTTCATAATCGCGACGTATCCTTTCGCGTTCCAAAGCTTTCTGACCTCTTTCTTCAGTTTTTTTTCTAAAATAATGAGACTCGTTTATTAAGATATTTTAATAAAATTCAGTTAAAGCAACCGCATTGTTTCTAATTCTTTTTCCCTCGATTTTTGTAGTTGTCTCTCTATATCCGCATTTTCAGTAGCGCTTGTTTCTTGCGATACTTTTTCAGCTACTACTGTAGTAATTCTAGTTGGATTTATAACTTTCTTAAATCTGTTGTTATAATCGTATGACGTAGGTTTAGTTAGATGAACTTTAGATGGCAAAGTTTCAGATTCTTCTACATTTTTTGACAGTTTAGCTGTATCTAAAGATATAGGTGCCTTTTTCGAAAACTCTTTATTTTTAACCACATGCATGTTCACAGGCTTTTCAGTGTTGTTTTCGATAGAAGCAGAATCATTTTGTTGGCATTCTCGTACAGTTTTAAAATTGTTTGTTAAATTTGTATTTGTGGTAACAGCTGTATTCGAACTACTTTGATTCGTTGTTTGTTCTGAAAAATAATTTTTTCCTCGACGTAGGTTTAATGTCATCTTATTATGGGAATGCAAGTTACTTTTTTCTTGAAATAAATTCATATTTCCTTGAGCTAATGTATTTTTATCTGCAATTTCTCCAGAAAAACCATTGTTTTCAGCATGAATACTATGAGTTTTTTGGTTTTTATTTAAAAGGTCCGATATTTGGGTAAATTTTGTCCTTGAGGATTTTATAATTGGTTCAGTAGCTGCAGGATAAACATTTAATTTTCGACTTAATGAAGGTTGTTTTTTTTCTCTTGAATACACTCGAGTAAAGTGTTGATTCGTCTTATTATGTATATCCTGTGTTTCTAAAGAACTTGAAGAAGAATCAAGAGACGTATCAGAAGAACTTATTGACATCATCACAGATGGAATTTCCTTGAAAGCCTGAGGGATTTCTTTCGTTTTGTTTTCTTTGAAAGACGCATAGGATCCAATTATAGGTCTATCTGACCTAGAGAACAAGGAATGTTTTATTTCTTCGCTACGATATTTCGAAATAGAATCTAATTGTGCATGATTTGGCATTGGGATGGCTCTAGAATAATTGTGTTTTAAGTCTTTAATTTTACTTTCTCGTCTAATATCATTTTTCATAGATGGTTCTAAAGGCTTTTCATTTGATGACGCACTACATTCTACTGAACCTTCTTCTATAACTCTAGGAAGTTGTCGGTCAAAATTCATGTTTGAAAAATTTTCTTTGTTATCGTAGATACAAGTTGGCTTCATTTTTTCTCTACATTTTGTAGTTTTTGCATTTCTGGTAGCTGGAATCAAATCTATCGATTCCTCACGAATTAGCTGGTGAATTTTCGGTTGAGAATTATCTATTTTTGCGGCTCTGTGTGCTTCACCGATATTAGGAACAGTGTTGTTCAATTGTTCTTTCAAATGACGTTTCCAGTTTTTTAGTTCTTCTTGTTTTTTTTGTTCAATTATTTTTATTTGCTTTTGCTTTTCATTTTCCACCTTTTTTCTTACATGTGATGCAAGTTCTTTAGATTTTTGTCGGACCTGTAATGTAATATACTTTGTATCAAGATTGCAAAAATAATTAATGATCTAACTTGTTCCAATCTCAGTTTTTTTCTTTCTTCTAAAACTTTCTTCCTATTACCCTCTGGATCTAGGATTATAGCATTTCTCGTGGAACGTTTAATAGGGCTTCCATGTACAGTGATATTAATAGACATTACTCAAATTTCAAAAAATAAAAAATGTTGAAAATATTTAAAAAAAATAAAAATTATATGTGAACACTTAAATCAACGAAAAATCATAGAATAAACAAAACATTTTAATTTTTAAAATCAAAAAATTTGACAAATGTTACTAATCGATTCTTTCAAAAAGGGGTGTAACATGAGAAGCATTATATCGAATACTATCCATCCTTTGAAGATTTGTGTACGAAACGAAATGAATATGGATCAATAATTTTAAAAATTTAATATTCCGTTAAAGAAAAATTATAATTTTTCGATTTTTGCAATTCGACAAAATTGATCAACGTGTTGTTATGTGTATAGTTAGCAGAGATGCGACAGACGATATTTTACTTAAGAGGTATTGCTTACATTTTGAACTCTAAGGATACAATCTAACATCAAAACTTGAATCACTAATCCAAAGTAAAAAAAAATTCTCTTATTTGTTTTATTAAATTATTGTACATATTTCAGCTTAAGTTATAAAGTCCATATTGAAATTGTATATTTTAAGAAGATTATTGCTACTTAATAATAACTCAATAAACAAGATAATTGTTAATGGCAAATATGCCACAAACATGTTATATTTTTCCAATACAAATTTTGATAATTTGACTTTATTCTAGATTTTTTTGGTCTTTAGGCATTATTTGCTTTTTATAAGACCAATCTTACGTACTGATAAAAGACAAAATCTTAGATTTAATTTGAGTCTGATGAAAGTGATGTATGTAGACCTTCTTTAAGATCATCTTTCGATCGCCTGATGTCGTGTATGACGCAATATTGGAAATCAAGTTTACTGTCAGATTTTTTAAAAGTAATACACAATCAATTGTAATAGCTACAATCAATTTTTGTGGAAATTTTTTTTTCAAATTATATTATTTTCATACACAAAAAATGTCATAATTACAATAATTTACCTATGTAAACGCTTGGTTCAATAATTTTAAGTAATTATGATGTTTGATTGTTGAGAAAAACTATTGTTTACATAAATGTCAAAGTCGCTCATAGCATTTGTCATAATAATGTTAATTCTTCGAAAGTAAAATTTTGAAAAGTTGGAATATTCTTCTTTCCAAAATTTAAATGCCTTTTAAAAACAATTACATAAATTATAATTACGATAAAAAAAGTGAACTTTCAAAATGAATGAAAATAATATCACTGAGTTAAAGGAAATGGTTTCCGAAGCCCAGAAATACTTATTAGATTTAATTTATTTTTGCGCTAGTGGAAAAGAAATGAGCAATGCGTTTTCGGTTCAGGATGTGATAAGTTTCCTAAAACGACTGCGGAATAGTTGTTGTAAAGGCTATGAATCTCAATGTGAAGTTATGAATATTATCCCAACAATATTCGCTTTGCTAGAAAAGGAAATATTTAGCTTTTTTGAAGATATATCATCTGATGAAGTGGATCAGCTGAACACTTTGATTTGGCAACTGATGGCTAATTTGACTGTAAATAATCCCTCAAATCAACAATTAATTTGGGAAGGCTATGGTTCCAAGGTTAAAGAATATTTAAACGGGCTATCTCCTTATACAGACATTCAGTTATTAATTTTATATAATGTCGCGAAGGGAAATTCTGTATATTTAGATCAAAAAGACGTTTTTGAAATACTACTTAAGGTATGGACAAATATTTTAGAAAAAAAGTATGACAGGAATTTAGAATTTTTGCATATATTTTTTGAAGAATATTTATGTAACATTTCGTGTCGAATTGTACCAATATACGCAACTCTTCATGCGGAACATAGGATTGCAGTCTTGAAATATATAATTATTTATGTAAGAAATGGCAGTCCTAATGGTCAAATACAAAAAGTTTTGATGGAATTTATATCAAAAGAATTCAAAAAGAAATCAGATTGTATATTGAGAGTAAACAGTGAGCGTATAAATGAAATTTATCCATATGAAGTGTTAATATTGCTCGAAACAATTTCGGTTGCCAGTGGAGATGCTTTATATAGTCATATTTATGAAAAAGATCACTCATTATTTCTTAACGTTGGGCAGCTTTTGTATACTGTTAATGAAACTGGTAAACAATCAAATAATATTTTTACACCAATGGAAAAGCTAACTGAAGTAGCCCCCAATTCTGGAATAAACACAGATTTTCAAAATGAAATTTCGTATCAATTAAGAACACTTTTAGTAAGAACTCTGGCGAATTTATTGTACAAAAATAAAAAAAACCAAGAATATGTAAGGGAACTAAATATAATAGCAGCTATTCTGGATTCAACCAGACCAGACGCAAGGAATCCTAGTAAGTTGTTTTTTCTTTTTTTTTTAAACACATAAAAAATAAAATAGTAATTAAATGTAATTTTTTTGTAGTGATAAAGGAATGGAGTATACTTGCAATTAGAAATATGTGTGAAAATTGTTCTGAAAATCAACAAATAATATCAAATTTAACAAAAGTTGGAGATGCCTCAAAAAATGTTTTAACAGAGTTAAATTTAGAAATGGGATCGTTAAGAATTAGTCCAAAAGAATAATTTTGAAATAAAGCAAATAAAACAAAACAATATACAAGCTCATATTTGAAAAGTATTAAAATTGTTAAATATATTTGTTTGATTATCTTCTAAGTAAGAATAATACCTTACTACTTCCTTATAGGTATGAAATAACTCTGGGTTACTAATTTAAAACATATTTAACAAAAAATTTGAAGCATTATAGTGTGTGCAAAATTTATGTAAAATTAAAAAAGAACTACTCATATTCATGAAAGTTTTGTTGAAATTTAAAACTATTTATGGTTTAAGCTCACTTTTACATTTCTATTGTTTCAAAAATAAATCTTGACAAATAGTCAAATTTTATTTTGAAAATTAAAACTTCGTGTTGAATTTTTTATTTCTATCTATAACGAAATTTGTAAGCAAACTTCGTCAAACAGAAACATTGCGAAAATTCGCTAAAACTCTTCGAAACCGTATCATAAAGTTGAATGCCATATCAAATATAATGGCATCAAGTTCCAAATAAAAATTTTACCTCTTTCTAAATCCCCTAAACGATGGTATTAGTCAAAGCACTGATAATCACCCTATGCATATACATTCATTCATATAAGTTATTTTTAAGTATGGCAATGAATAAACAGAAATTTGCAAAAGTATGTAGGCAATTTAAAAATTTATAAATGTACATATAATATTGTAATAAATGTACATACAATTTATAAACCAGTACATATAATAAAATGGTGTTTCTGGGATATTCATTTATCGATTGTAAAAAAAATCATGAAAGGACTGATTTTTTAAATTAAAAGTAATTGAAATTTGCAGTACACATTAATACACATTTATTATTTTAATTGATTGAAATAATTGGGTGAAGAATTTATTTTATTGATGCATATTAATTAATCAAATTGTTCATTAAATAGATTTAATTTTATTGTGCAAAAAAAAACTAAAATTTTCAAAATACATAATAATATATTTTTATAGTACATAATATTTAAGGTAATAATGTATAGTACATGATGTTAAGGTAACTAAGGGGATCATTCCATCTACTTACACAGCACTGACATTCCATCTAGTATTTACAGCACCGATTTAAAAAGAAAATTTAATTTGATATATTATATTAAATAGTATTTTGGTAAATAATTCAAATAGTATTTTGAAATATTTTCTTATAAATTTAATATTTTATTAATCGTGGTCATAGCCTGATTTATTAGGCTTATTAAAAATTTTTCCATATGAAGTTGTATGAATGGAAAGATCAATCTATTACGAGTAAAGCTGTACAAATGGAACAACCAATGTAAAGTTTTTGGGTTATTGAAAAAAATTTATATACGAAACACTAGAAAATTATTATTATTATAGTGACTATACCTACCTATCATTATAAAAATTTTAAAATATTTTATAAAACAAAATTAAAAAATTTTTTTAAATTATATTTGCATATCATTGGGCGAAAACTTTAACTGCAATACAATTGCTGAAGTTATTGTTTGGTTACTTAATTAGTTTCGTTTAATTGTTAATGGTAAACCTATGTATCTATCAGTGATTCATTACTATCCAAAAATTGATATAATATTATGTATATGTATGTATGTACGTATCTTCCTTTGGAAATCAAAATATTTTATTAATATAGAACAAGTTATGAAATAATTATTTAATATTGAAATTTTAAAAATTTATTTTTAGGACACCAAATAAATGAATATTGAAGATTTTTGATTTGCGCGACGAGGACAACAGTTCACCGTGACTACGTGTAAAGATCTACCAAATAAATGAAACAAAAATATTATTTTCAAAGTTTTACACGTAAATATGTAATTTAAAAATAAATTAAATTTTAAATCACATATATTATGCATAATTAATATTTATAACGAATATAAAATGTTTTAAAATTAGTAAAACTCCTAAAATATGTGAATTTATTAGAATGTACATATACTAAAATTGTAAAATATTTTGATGAAAACCTAAAGTAGAGAGTGCCAGTTCTATAGTTTTTTATTCAGTTACTTATTTAATTGAATAATTTATTTATTGATATGACATTGGTTCATTACACAAACAAAAGAAGAATTTTTGTTTATGTATTGACGATCAAATTTACAGAAAATATTTATAAATTTTCCATTTATGATGATAAATTGAAATCAAGACTAAAAAATAAGTATCAAAAACTAAAAAGAGTAAAAAACCACAAAAATAAAGAAAAATATATATTTGATGTGACCAGCATATAACCGACTGCAATTATGTATATAAATTGTAAATATTTACAATATTTACAAATTCACTTGTTCTTGTTAGTTCAGCAAAATTGTTTATGCATACTTACTTTAAATTTTAAGATAGCTGTTAATTTTTTAATTAGTTTCTTTTCAAAAATAAAAATTTCGTTCTCAGTTGAAGTTTTTTCTAAATTGAAATTGAGCTTTTTGTAATTTGATTTTATTGAAAAATTTGTTAATCAGTTTTGCTCCAATTGCTTTGGTATGATATGCTAAAAAAGTTATTAATTCATCACATGCACAAAGTTAATTCAAATTAAATTTTCCTTGAAATTGATTGAGCAATGAAATGTAGTAGTTGAACGATGGATAGACCGATATTCAATCAAAAATTATTTTATCTTTATTTTTGGTATGATATATTCCGTTCAAAACTAGATATGGGAAAATTGATATTATCACAATGCTTCCCTTATTGTATGTAACATAGTTCGTATTTGGTAAAAAGAAATTATTTTTAGTTTTAAATAAATTTAAATGAATGAACATCAAATTATTGAGTAAAGTTTTGATGACTTGATAATTGATATATAGGATTTTTATTTTTATCTTTAAATTGAAAATATTGTATACTCACTCATTTATTCAATTGTTTTTTAAATTATTATTGAAACAAAGTACATTTGTAATTCTTTATTGATGTATTGAGACGAATCAGAATAATTTTTTTCTTTGGTATAGAAAAAAAAAATTTATATTAAATTTATTTTTTAAAACCATTTTTTGGATTTAAAATATTCTTATTAGTTTATATAGTAAATAGTAATAAAAGTAGGTTTTTAATTTAATAATTTTATTTGGTCTTATGTTTTATTTTTTAATTATAAATTAAGTATATATTTTATTATATTAAATATGAATACATATACGTTTTATTAAAAACACTTAACGCTTAAAAATTTTATTCTACTAAATATAACTTGCTAAATTAAACATATATTGTATGTGTTATATTGATATTTCAATTAAATTCATTTTATATATAAAAATTATATAATAATAATAATATATGTAATACATATATTGTATTCGTATATGGCAAAAACTTGCATGTATATAACTATAATAATAATACCTACATTTTTTTTAATACTAACAATTATAAGAGTTTTATTAATGGAACTATCACAGTTTATTTGGTTTTTCCCATACGTCGTGTGCTTCTTCAATAGTATTCGGTAATGTAGAATTTAAAGTTTCTGGTAATAATATTGTTGCTAATCCAGTTGCTGATACTAATAGTCCTATTATTGTCATTGGGATATAAGCTGGTATTATTGTGGCCTATAATAAAATTTATTAATTTTTATAATAATATTTTAATGTATATACAATATATATTTATATAACAATTGATAATGCATTTGTAATTTTTAACTTATGTGAATATTAGAGCAATAATAAGCTTAAAATTGTAAAATAATAAAAATATCCTGGACTAATAAAAGACATAAATCTAAGTTTTACTATCAGAACATAATGACTATACATTTTGAAAAGAAAATAATTAATACACTATTACTTAAAATTTTAAGCGCTTTTTGATAGAAAAAGAAGAATTTGATTACTTTAGTTGTTATATAAATATTTGTTAAAATTTAACGTTTAATATTATAAGTTAATAATTTCTTAAAAAATAGTTTTCCATTTACCAAAAACATAAATTGTGGTGCTAAAAGGCTAGCCACTCTTGCTGCAAAACAGCACAAACCTAAAGCAAAACCACGGCATATTGTTGGAAATAGTTCACTGGCATACATGAACATTCCACCGAAAGAGGAAACAGTTAATCCTTTTGCAAGCATTGTTAATACAAGTACAGAATAACCTATACATAAAAGAATAAAACAATTAATATAAATTTTATATATTTTTACATTTTCATATAAAATAATTAATAAAATATTAACCTTTCACTTCACTCTCTTCAATGAAATATGAAAAACCAACAAATATTAATATTACTCCATTTGCAATTTGATAAAATGTCATTGGAATACGTCGTCCAAATCTAGATAAAACAAAATATGATGATACATATCCTAAATTTTCAGCAACAGCTCCAACTAAGAAATTAATATGCCGTTGGCCAGTTAGATTTGGTAAATAATAAAGAATTCCGTAATAGGATAACGTTACTGAAAACCTACACATATACATATGTATGTGTATATAATTATAAATTTGTACATATAGTAAGAAAAATATATGAATTTTTTTTTTTAAAAGAAAATCTTTACCAAACTGCTATCATTATAATTAAATGTTTTCTTAGAATAAAACTTCTTAAAACGTCCATAATTCCAGTTGATGATTTTGGTCCATCTTCAGTATTATAATTTTCCATTGAACTAGTTAATGTTATATCATTTTCTAAATTTTTTAATACTGTATTACATGCATCCATAGTTGCTGTATCTTGATTTTTCTTTGCCATAGATTTAATAGCTTTTACACATTCATGATATTTATTATTAACATAAAGCCATGATATTGATTCAGGAATTAGCCTAACATTAAATCATTATTCAAAATTAATATTTATTAAATTATGTTAATTTTTAAATTAATTTGTACATACCAACTATATATAACGCTTAAAACTAAAGGTATTGTCATAACTAATGTTAAAACTCTCCATGAATGTATTTTGTAAGCAACGCCACCCAAAATCATTAAACCAAAAGTCCAATTAAGTTCCCAAAATATAGCTGCAGCTGTACGATTTCTTGATGGGGCTATATTTATTAAAAAAAATTTCGTGTAATTATTGTATAATGAAATCTTAAAATTTCAATTTTGATAGAATTTTTGAAATAAATAGTATGTAAGTACTTAATCTTAATTAAGTTTAGGTAGTAAACATGATTTTTAAAAAAAAAAATAAATGATCTTAATTGTGATCTCGTGGGTCAGTAGATATAATTAGGTAAAAAAATTATTGTGATCTTGTAGGACAGAGACTAATAATGAAGAGTTCTTATAGACAATATTCTTAAATTATGTCATTAATTTGTACTTCATTAATTTGTATGTTTGGAAATAGTGAAGATCCAATAAACCAACATAAACACACATTTTTTCTTGTTGTAATTTGTTCCAGAATAAAATGCAATAATAATTGTAAATAGCTAAAGAGAAAACATTGTAATACAGAACAGAATAGAAATTGTAACACAAATTGTAATAGTTAGAATTGAAACAAAAATGTAGTGGAAACCAAATGGATTGAGTAACATTAATTAATTTTCAATTAATAAAAAGTCTACAAACAATTTTTAATTAATGTTTTTTGTTTTTGTTTTGGAAAATTAATTCAATTTAGTGTTTAAATTCATTGAAGAAAATTGTGTGTAATAAATTAAAATGATTTGATATAAAAAGTGTGCTATATACGCACTACAATTAATTCTGAATAATCTTAAAGAGAGAAAAAAAAAATACTTTATAAGTCTATAAGTCGCCATAAGTATGTTAAATAAAAAAAATTATATTAATTTTATTTCACACGTCACTCTATATATTATAATCAAAATTATTAGCAATTAATTGTGATTATAACAATTTTTTAAAATCTTTATTAAATTAATGTTATACAGATAAGATTATATTATAAAAAAAATTTGTATATATGATATTGTAATTTAGGCAGTCATCAATAATTATGTATATACTTTAGTATGATTAATTAGTAAAAATTATTAAGTGGATATACTATAAATTTACTTAGGTGCCTATATGTAGAGGTACTTAAAAAAATACTTGAGATAATATTGTTTTCAAATTCCTTCTACTAAATTTTATCTGTTTTTTTTTTTTTTTTTGGGAATATTATATAAAAAAATATTTATTCATAAATTTAATATAGTTGTGATGTTATAATTTGAGTTACACAAAAATTATATTATTTGCATAGTTATAAAATTTCTATTGAAAATTATTTCGACTTTGTACTCACACTTAATTATATGACATACATACATTTAATATGTATGTAAATTATTTAATTTTTGAATATTGAATATTATAGTATAATATTGGTTATTGTTGAGAGAAAATAGAGAATATGTAGAAATTGGAATTCAAATTTAATATTTTATCCTTTTATTGCCGCTGTAAAGTTTTAGGTATATTTCATAATTTCAATGTTTTAGAAATTAAATATTAAATTGATAATTCAAAATTAATATTGATTAATTAATTAAATGTTAATGAAACCCTTATAGAAAAATTATTATTATTAAAATTTGTGTTTTTATCATTTGGCAGAAATAGTTTGCAAGTACCGCTTGTCAGTTCTCATAAAACACCATTTTTTTCTGATAAAAATCGGATAATTTGAACAATATAAAAAGCTACTATTATAAAGGACACAAACTAAAGTTAAGTTTTTCTTTTAATATTTATTAGAAGAAATCTAAGGAACAACCTGTTTAGAATTAGAATGCTTAGAAAATTCAATTGGATTTTAATGTTTTACGCTGGACTAAAACTTTCTATATAGCAGTTTTGTTAAAATTTTTATAAAAATTTTATTTTATTTATGTATATTATTTGTATTCATATTATTAATATTGGTAATGATGAATATAATAATTTTACATGTTTACGTATACGTATATATTTTGTGTATCGATATATACTCGTAAATATTTACGTTACTGCATTATATCAAATTATAATTATATTCAATATTACATTTTAAAAATTTAATCATAGTTCATTTGATTGACATTGAAACTTATTCAAAAGAATCGAATTAATTTTAAAAAACATATGAAAATATGTGCCAGACCAATATGCAGTATTATATGACTTAAAAATTAAATTTAAACAAACTGAAAAAAATTCGATATCAGCGAAAAATAAGAATAAAAAAAAATAAAAAACAAGAATGCGGTGATTTTTAACTCATATGCTACAAAAAGAGATACAAAAATTTTCCAAGTTATTATGAAAAATTAATAGAAAATTTTTAAGTCTCTTAGGTTTAATTTCAAGTTTATTTTGTATAAGAATATTATTACTGCAATTTTGCAATATGTCGTATGTAAGTTTTATTCTTATATTTTAATGTATTTTGTAAGAATATAATCTGAGAATAAAAAAACATATTAAACGTATTTGTAAGTTATTATCTATGCGTTTACATAGAAAAAAAAATTAAACTGGTCACAATAAGGTAAAATTATTATGCAAAATCCATTAAAAAAAATAAAATTTAATTATTACACACACATGCATACAATTGTATGCAGGTATTATATTTTGAATTTGTCGCATCTATTCAATAATTTAAAATTTGGCCAAATTCGAAATATAATTGTAGATAAATAAAGTGTAAATAAAAATAATAACGAGTATATTGACCCCTATAGGTATGCAATTAGCGTATGTATAGGTTTCTCTACTGTATAATAAGATTTATTTGTAAGAGAGAAGATAAAAAAATACAAATTAAATGCTTTGCATAATATCGATTCATACACTTCCAAATAGACTCAATGTTCTTCAAACCTCTATAATTTTAAAAATTTGCTAATTATGAACAATGTCAATAAAAATGTCGATAACAGATTTAGTTTAGAAAAACTAAAAAAAAAGAAAAACTTTTTTTTAATTGCCTACATGGTTACTATATTCTTGGAAATATTCTAAAAATCTATTTTTTATTTATAAAAACTTGATTAAATTTTCTTCAAAAAATTGATTTTAAATTGATTTAGTCGAAACTACTAATTCTAAGTCACATAATTTAGTTTTAACATTTTAATTACTTATTGTATTAAAAATTGTATTTTATTTTGAATGCTCAAAACTATTCGCAATCTGATCGATCTGATTAATAAAGTACAATAATAACTACTGCATATTTATGCATGTATATATTTACATACTTCAGTATATTAATCTAGTGAATACGGTATGCGTATACTATAATTTATTTGTACACAAAAATTTGTTAATTTGATTATCACTTTTATTGTAGTACGGGGACGTAAAGTACAAAATAAATTTTGTTTTTTTTTTATTGATATACAAATATACATTACATACAATTTTTAAAATAAACACCTTAGTAATGTATAAGTATGTATATATAGGTATAATTGAAAAATTTTAATAATAATTTTCAACTATCATGTTGTCAGATATTTTCTATATATTATATACGTTCATGATAACGAATATATTAACATATAAATTATCATATTTCATTTTAGAAAGAATTAAAATTTAAATAAAGACAGGGGAATAATAGAATTCTAAATTAAAATATAAATTTGTTTATAATATAAATAATATAAATATGTAAGTCTATTGAATTTTTGTGGATTATTACTGATTGAAATTAATATCTTAATAATCACCGCAAAAATTTATTTTAATAAGTAAATAAATTATTTTCAAATCTCTACTACTCTTTTGTATTTTAAAATCATAAAAGAAAATAATATTATTTTTATGAAATATAATTAAATTTTTTTAAGTGATCATGAAACTGAACACAATAATGAGTAAAGAATTATTGAGCATTTTGTATTTATGAAACTTAAATATGATTAAATTTTTTTAAATTATACTTACAATATTCCATAATTAATATGTATGTACATGTTTGTAATCCTTGTACAAATATTCCTAATACAATTCGAAATATTATGAATAATGTTAGACTATTTCCAAAATAAACGCATATTGATAATAATATAATTGAATACATGCAAGTTAAAACAACTTTTTTTCGACCAAATTTATCACACAGCATATTACATAAAAGTGAACCAATTGTAACACCAACAAAATACAATGTATTTGTTAAAGGTCCAATATATTCATTTTTACAAACTAATGAGAACTGCATTCAAATGCAATGAGAAAAAATAAATATTTTTTGTATTTATTAAAATCTTAGATATGGAAATTAATTTACCTCAGAAACAATTGTTTCATCATCTGTAGGATCAAATGAATATGTTTGACATTCATTTGTTGTATTGCCTATTGTACAAGTAGAATTTAAACTTTCGTCATCATCCTGAAAGTAATTTCGAAAAAAATATATATATAGCTATATTTAACTTTAAAATTTCAAAAATTTTATGAATTGTTTTAATTTTTGAGTGAAAATTTCATGTACAAAAATGTATTTCATCACAATTTATGGGTTTTTCCAAATTTCATTACCCATATTGTTATCCTATAGCAGTAGAAATAGTTAATAAATATCACGATTAATATTATAATGTGTTCTTATCATTAATTTCATTCATTAAAAATTTTATTATTGTCAAATATTGAAATAAAAATAATATCGCAAATATTTTATTGTTTAAAATATATGGTCCTTATGCGAAGACACGTATCTAAAAATTTTTACTGTTTTTAGAAAAAAATCAATTTGAAATTTTCAAATATTTAAATTTTATGTTTTTTAATGTAATTGACTATGAAGCAATAGTTGTTTATTTTTAATTTAATTATATTTTGAGATAAATTTACACAATTTTTAATTACTCCCAATTTTTACAATATTTCGTATTGAACAAAAAAAAAATTTTTTTTCGATAGAATTTTTTCGTGTTTCTTAAGCTTTAATTTAAATTGAAAAACATGAAACTTTTAGGGCTCGAAAGACATCATAAAATTAATTATTAGTTTTGTTAAAATTTATAAGATTTTTAAAAATTTTTAAAAGTTTTACTTGTCATTTCTCAAGCATATTTTCAAATATAAGTAAAAATATGTGAATAAATCAAAAATTTGTGAAGTATTTTTGTGAGTCTTAGTATTATTACCCGTTTTCGGTACTATCTATAATATTTTTTTGTTAACCTCTGTTTAATTTTCTTTGATTAGAGTTAAATTATTTTCCATTTAAACTTTTTTTAATTGTTTACTGCAGTACTGTAATTAAAAACTTACAAGTATATTTATGTGGGTCATTGCCTCATTTCAATGAATGAATAATTTAATATGCAAAACAAGTCTTTACTTAATATGTACGAATGTTGAACATGTCATACGGTAGCAATTAGAGTTAAAAGTTTAGTACTTTTTTTAAAGTTTGTTTTTGGGTGTTTAGGAAAGTAGATACATATAATATAGCGATCGTTACTCTCTGCTAAAAGTATTAAATCACTTAAAATTAATGTCTTTGAATATTTTTTAACAGTTTTTTATTCATTATTTTAATTTCTTATTTTTCTTGGAAAAAATTTGCAGTATTAAATAAAAAAAACTTAGAACTAAAAAGATGAAACCTAATTTTTTAAATCTTAAACAAAGTTTTTGTTAGAAATATGTGTTTAAATTTATTATGATATTTTCATATGTAATATTGTTGTTGAGTAAATCAACAATTTATAGAAGAGTACATATATAAAATTTTGTTATACAAAAATTTCATATTTTTTTAAAAATTATCAGAAATATGCAAAATAAATTCACGATCCAATGCCAGCATTTTTATATTTCAGAAAAAAGAATAAGACATAAGCCGGCTTCTTGTGGTGTTATCAGTTGTAAAATTCAAACCAGATACAGGTCTATTGCATACAACGAACTATATATGTACATATATGAAAATATATTTTATTAACAAGAAACATGATTGTTTAATATTTACGAATGGTTTCTATTTACATATTTAACTTTAATTATTTAAATATTAAATTCTATATTTAAAATAAATATTATTATAAATTAAAATTATTTTTAAAGTAAATAAATTTTTAATTCCATGTGAGTAAAAAAATTATCAACATAAAAAAATTGGGCATAAAATTTGCTTTTAATCGAAAATATTTTCCTTTTCTTAAAAAAAATAATTTTTTTTTCATAAAAATTTCTAATTTAATTTTTCCCAAACTCAATAAATTTTTTCAATTAAATATGAAATCGATCACTTTTGAAATGGAGGGTAGAAATACGGTAATTGTAAGTGTTAGTCGCTCTTATGTTAAATATTTTAGAATTAATTTTTTTTTTGTATTTCCAAAATTACCAGAATTACAATAACTTGGACGCATGAATTTTGTATTTTTATAAATTTTATTAATAGTTAAAAAATATTTTAATATACTCGTATTTGTATAAGTTTATTTAACAATACAGTAAATTTTCCAAATGTACAATGAACTTTAGTAGATCCGCTTTTATATGTGCAGTTTTTAGAATTTTAATAAAATATCAAAATTATTAATTATACTTACAGCACAATAAAAATTAGGTTTATATGTATAAAATGATGTTATTGTATGATTAATACCAACTGACATACTATTTAATGCTAAAACTATTATTAAAAATATTTGAAATCGTCCTTTTTTCTCAAGAAAATTTTCTGTTAAATTCTTTATTTCATCTATATGCCCCATTTTATTATTATTATTATATTTTTCACTTAATTTTTTAATTATAACTTATTATTTATGATAAATTTTGTATTATTCTTGTTGTAATAATTTTTCATAAGAAATTCTAAAAAAAAAATACCAAACACTTTATAGCATTAAAAATCAATTTAGTTTTATTATTATACAATAAAATTAAATTACTGAAATTCTCAATTCCAAACTATTTATGATTATTATTTTATTATTATTATTCTTTTATATATTTTCAATAATTTGGGTGTCAATATATTATATACACGTTATAATAATTAATATTAAAGTACACATATATGTATGTATAAATTTTCTATATTAATTTTGCAAAAATCTTCGAAACGTATCCGAATTTCAGTCAACACGAATCAACGGTTTTACCGTTAATGAAAAACTGATCTGTTAAACTTAAACATTTAAATGAAATAAAAAAAATTTATAATAAAAAAAAAAAAAGAAAAACGAGGGAAACATGAAATTATATGAATGAAAAACAAAAAAAAATTTGCTTTTAATTATTGTTTTTATTTTTTTTTTAACTAGAATATTGAACGGACAATCACATATTGCTAATTTGGTGAGTACAAAATAGCATATTTACGATACGGTATATAAAGAAAGAAAAATTGAGTATTTCGTTATTTTGAATATTCATATGGGAAAATTTTAATGGGAGAGACAGAGAATTCTAATAACGGGAGAAATTACTAATAACTTATACAGCCTGATTTTGCTTTTAAACTTTTCCTCCACTCTTTTTTATTTAACGCATAAATTTAAGTGAGAATAATGTACATATATGTACCGTATAATAACAGAGATTGCCCGAAATTAAGAAAAACGACATATATGTACATATAATTTATACAGATATTGTAATTATATACATAAACAACTTAAAATTTAATAAAACTAGATTGATACGCAAACGTACTTACAATCAATGTGTTTATAATAGTTTATACGTTTTTCATACAATGCAATTAAATTATTCACAAATGTTTGTAATTTTTTAGGCCATGGAGTATTCTTCATATAATTACCTATAACTATACACACTCGTATATATAATTTTATGTTTGTATTACATTCTGCCTTAAGTATCTTTGATTATTGTTTAAGCTGGTTTAAGTATTGAAAAATTTACAATAGTTGACATTCGCCTTTAAAATTCATACATACATATACTCGTATTATGTATATTATGTTTGAACAAAATGTATATATACGTACATTTATATATATGTATATCTGTAATAATTATTCATTGAATATATAATTTAGTCGATGTTATTAGCTTATATAATTTTATATATAAAAAAAATAAAAAATGTGCTTTCAATAATGGAATCATTGTAAATGTTATATGAATTGTGTAAAATAGAAAAAAAATATACAGATCTTCATCGAGATTCAATTTATATATATGAACAGAAAGATATTTTAATTATGCAAAAGTATATTACAATACAACCGATGAAAATTCATGTTATTTAGTTTCCCATTTTATTCTTGATTTAAGTTACCTATACTCAAATTATTTTATGCCTGCATATTTGTGTATATTTATTTACCTATATCTACATGAATTATACATGTTTGCAATAATATTAATATATTTTAATACCGAATATATAAACTACATTAACAATGTTACAAATATTTCAACTATTTCAGGTAAAAATAAAAAAAAAGTGAAAGTTACTTAACAGGAATGATAAGTACAGACAATTGATATATGTACGCACTGTGTGTATATACTCGATTTATGCTCCTATAATCCTATATATACTCATGAGTGATCAAATCAAATATACTCTTACATTAGGGCAGATTTTAATTTTAACAGTGATCTCTGTTCGATCAAAAATGTTAACTTGATTTTTTAATAATATGTTTATATAATATGAGAGTAAATTCTTTGTACATGCATAATGTATGTAAGATCACAATTTGTGTTTTCGTTTTTTCTTGTTCTGATCTATTAAAAAAATTGATCCGCGTTTGTAATTTACCTCTTAGCATTCAGCGCTAAAAATTAGTGTTCATTTGAAAAATTATTAAACGACAGAATGAATGCAGACATTGGCTTTGTATTCAAAATTCAGAGCAGCACACACGCTAAAAAATTTCATCTCCATTATATCTGATCAAAGTTAGCTTTTAAGCTAAAAAACGAAAACTCCCGATAGTCCTCGTTATTGCATACATTTAGGATGACGCAATATTTTATCGTAATTATTTGTCATAATAAAATATTAAGTATGTATGGATACAGGTCTTTTGTAACAAGTCTTTTAATATGTGTTTAGATTTGGTTTTAGTAAATATTTTTTTAGTAATTTTTTTGAAAAGAATTGAGCACTAATAATTAATCTAAGATAAAATATTTCTCTTAGTCGGTAAAATTCTGGAGTAGAAATCATTTTTTCAATCACAAAAAGCTATAAGTCCAATATCTAAAATCCAAAAATTCCTGAAATTAATAATAAAGATAAACAGTTTGACTATGTAAATAAATACGTTAGGTGTACAATTTTAATTACTTCTCTTTATTGTAATTATTATTGTCACCTACTCAATAGAATAAAATCATTATTATTATTCAATAACAATACGGAATTCAAAAATAAAAAAATATTTGAGTACGTTTAGTTTATCTTAACATCGTATTTTTTCTAAATAATTGGAATTATTAAAATTAATCATTACAGGTGAAAATAAAGGTAATATTGTATAAATTTTTGCGTTTCTTTCAATTTATACACTTTTACAATATTTTTAGGCTACTTTTCAGATTATTTTCATTATTTGTAATGTGATTTGTGTTTGGTTTTACATACATACAAACAATTGTTATTCTTCTTAGTAAATTCTGTCAATATTGTTTTTTTCCAGCTAAAAAACAACTTTTACAGTTATTTCGTATTTTCATATATCTAGAAAGTAAATACGCTTTCCATATTGCATGTGTAGAACATAATTTAATTTTATTATTATTATTAAAATTTTATTAATGTTCCGAAAAATATATATATATATGTATGTATGTGTATAAATAAATAACAAAATATCTTTATTTTTCGAATTAATTAATTTAATAAATTATTGGTTAATAAATCATTATTAAATTATATTTATATTATTTCATAATTATATTTATTTAATAAGGAAAAAAATGAAATTTTGTAATAATAAAGGAGTTTCGAAAATTTTGTTTTGTATACATAATTCAGTTCAAATTTCATTTATTATAACTCTATTTATAATTGTTAACCCATTAACCCTTAAGTATAATCGCGTTTTTTATTTCACATAAATAAAATTGCATAATAAATTCTAGTAAAACACAAAATCAAATAGTTAACATCTTCGAACTTGACCATTGATGCAGTGGTTATGGTCCTTTAACCGAAGGGTCTCTGATTCAAACCCCGGTCAGGTCACTATAAAAATTATATTCAATATTATATAACTTAATATGCAATACTAATAATAATAAATATTATACAAGTAATTTTCAAATATTCATAATATTCGATACTAAAGACTAAGAAAAATAAACAGTAAATATTATAAACTGAAATATTTAATATAAATAAAAAAAAACTAAGGTAGGCTAGTCACTTACCAATTTAACTCTCTACGACTATAGAAACTAGGGCATGATATCATGTACTGGCCAATCGAACTAAATAAAAACATCTTCAAACTAAATTTCGTCGAAATCAAAGTATCATAGTTTACGAAAACAATCTGGTACTTCTCGTAAACTATGGTACATTTTTAATGCTCTATGTTAAGAAAAGTAATATAATTAGAAAAATTTGTGACTGCCAATAGCTTTATCCAAAAATTTTAACAAAAATTAAATAGAAATACTGGTTAATTTTCATGTACTTAGTTTTAGAAAAACCGGTAAATTATGCAAATCCTTTAAAAAGTCAAATTTTTTTGCACCCGAATATCAGTTAAGGGTTAATATAATTTATTAAAATATTATTATTTAGAGATACATTAAATAAGGTTTAAAATTCAAAGTCAATTAACTCCTTTTTTCCAAAAATCTTAAAAGGGAAATTCTCTTTACGCACAGGCTGTATACTAGCCATGGCATTATAAAATAATTGCCTTATAGTGCAAAAATTAAGTATGTATTATGTAATTTGAAAGACATATGAAAATTTTGAAAAAAAAATATAATTTTTTAAGAAATATAAAAGACCTTGTTTATGAATAAGACTTATTTCAATACTTTTCTAAATTAATGTCTATATACGTAAACAAATTTAGTAATAGAATAGCGCCAATGTAATTGATCAAAGCTCAATATTTTTTTTTTATTGAATTGATGTTATAAAATCATTGGACATTTTAAAATACTTTCAATTGAAAATGAACTACAAGTATATCACGTATTTAAATATTTTATTTACATAAAAGTTTATTTCAATTTTCAAATTCCGACAATTGTTGTTAAATAATAAAATTTTTTATATAATTTTATACCAGAGATATATCATTTTCATCATACTCGTAATAATTTGTCAGCATTTGATTAGTAGAAGAGCAATAGGTTCCTTTATGAGACCAGTACAAATAGCAATGCTAAATTCTTAAAAAGCAGTGACAAAATATTAACAAACCAATACATACAAATTTTAACATGCTATACAACACCACATTTCTTTTGTATATTATACGTGCTATAAACAAGAACCTGGATACATGAGTAATAACAAAATTATTGAGGCTATGATGCTGTCTAAATATTTTCCTATAATCATATAGGTATATGCACTAATTTTAATATAACACATACGTATTCAAAAATTTGTAGTTTTACAATAAGGTTTGCTTTACATTTGTAATCTTGAAAAAAAAATGCAATTTTGATATACACTACATACATTATAATATGATCTATATAAATGATCTATTCACGTGGAATAAATTAAAACAGGAATATCGAGAAAAAAATCAAGTCTAAGATCTGTCATAGCTTACTTGCTATGCTATATGTAAAATTTTCCCAAAAAATAATTATACTGAATTATAAACCGACTGAATTATACCCTGTACCTTGATCTGAATATAAAAACTTGTTTTTGAAATATTTAAAATTAGTTTTAATGGTTGTATGGCAGTAACCCGGAACTGTGAAACCTTTATTGTTTTTCCGAACATTAAATAAAATAGCCTCCTTGACAAAAAAGAAAAATTTTGTTAAAGTTTGGTGGCATTTACTTTGCACGTTTTTGTATTATCATGCGATTGAATGGACGGGCACACATGTCTAAAACAACGCAGAATTTTACGCTTAGCAAGAATACATATACATATGCATATTGCAGATGAATCTCAAGGGGTTACAAATTCGATTCCAGAGGCGATCCCTTCACGAAGATGCAGGGTATAAAAATGCTGCAGTCATTTGAAGATAGCCTATAATTTGAAATTATTTGGTCATAAAAATTTTAAGATTAATATTTGCAAATTGACTTCAAAATGATTTCAGAAATATTATAACTTTGCAGTATACTCCATAGCTCCGGACCAACGATTTCTACAAAATGATTCAAACAAAATATTTTTCCTTCATATTATTTAGTGTAAACCAAGTTTTGATGCATCATAAATGTATAAGCACGAACATAAAGCTTTTATACATTTATATACAAAAGAGTTTCTCATTTACAATTTTTCGATTTATAATTAGGAAGTTATGTAATTATAAAACTGACATTGAAAATCTATCATTAAACATCCTGGAAAATTTTCTACAATAATTGATAAAATTTAATTATTAGTATAAAAGTGTTCTTCTAAAAGACATTCAATTTAAAATTATCTTACCTTATAGCTATTTTGTTAAGTTTAAAAGAATGTAGGTATAATTTTGTGTATCTGGGATCAGGTTAATTGTGAAACAAGTTTTGGATTTAATTGAATTTGATTGCTTAATGTTGTTTATTAAATTTCGCTTACTTGTTTCTATTTAGATTAATAAAACATTGGGAAGAAAATTTAATTCTTAAATGAATTAATTTGAAAAGTGAATTGAATATTAAGTTAAAAATTGTTACTGTGCGAACGCATGATTTTTTAAGGATTCTGATTCGTTTCAAAACAGATTTAGCTGTCCATCTACCAACCAACCCCGTTTATTTTTAAATTGATCTAAGCAACCGTTCCAATATTAACCATAAGAGACTACATCAACAATAATTTAATAACATTTAGTTTCAAGATCACAGTTCTAAAAAGAAGATTATGGCAATCGTATAATAAAAATTTGTAAAATCATTCACACGAATACCATATAGACTCGAAAAGGTTAATTTCATTTTTTCTCTGTACTGACATTTTATATTTTATTAACAAGATTCTAACGCACTTTATGAACAAGATTGTAGATATTAATGCTAAAATTTAGTATAGTTATATGTACGTGGCACATACACTTATTATTATTATATAACAAATAACAAGCAGTATTAAAAGTATTTTTATTTAAGTATTTAACAAGTTTAATATGAATAAATTTTTGTTCGTAGACGATTTAATTTCTAATTACTTATTTTAAAGACAAAATATAAAATGTTTGGCATTGTTTAAAAATTTTTCATTTTTTTTGTTCATTTTTAACAATTCATTTTTCGTAAACTTATTTTTATTAATTAAAAATAATAACAATTTATTAGTTTTCCTTCCAAATGTCCTGTGCTTCCTCAATAGTATTCGGTAATATTAAATTTACAGTTTCTGGTAATAACATTGTTGCTACACCACTTGCTGACACTAATAATGCTATACTTGTCATTGGTATGAAAGATGGTATCATTGCATCCTACGAAAAAAAAATATTTTATTAGATTAGGTCTATATTATACAGTAATATTCTTTATTATTTTTAGACCAGGATGCTTTTTAAAAATTTTGAAAAGCTATTTTAGTAATATTTTTTCAGCAATAAAAAAATTTAAAGTTACATTAATTTTCTTACCAAAAACAAGATATACGATTCCAAAACTCTCGCTGTTCGCGCTGAAAAGCTGCATAGTCCTAAACCAAAACCTCGACATGATGTTGGAAATAATTCACTCGCAAACACAAACATTCCGGTAAAACAAGAAGCAACAAGAGTTTTTGCAAGTATCATTAATGCAATTGCAGACCATTCTACAATCAATTTTTTTTAATTAAAACGAAAAATTTTGTAATTTTTTGTAATATATCGATGTAAGCGTACGAAGACTAAACTTTTCTATAAAATCTAGAATAAATTTAATATTTACCTGTGACCTCAGTTTTATCGATAAAATAAACAAAAATTAGTAAAATTCCACTTAGAATTTGATAAAATGCCAAAGGAATACGTCGTCCAAATCTTGATAAAACAAAATATGATGAGAAATATCCAATGTCTTCTGCAGCTGCTTCAATTATGAAATTAGCATGCCGCTGACCAGATAGTTTTGGTAAATAATAAGCGATTCCGTAATATGATAAAGTTATTGAAAACCTATATTAGATACACATATTATTTTATAAATAAAGTTTGTGTAACGATTTTCAATTAAACGATTTTAATTGAAGTTTGCCTTACCAAACTATGACCATTATAATTAAATGTTTTCTTAAAATCAAATTACGTAAGACATCCATAATTTCATATGATGATTTTGATTCTTTCTTATAATCATGATTTTCCATTGAACTAGTTATCGTCTTACTATCGTCTCCTAAATTTGTTAATAATGCAATACAAGCATCTTCAGTTACAGTATCTTGATTTTTCTTTGCCATTGATTTAATGGCGTCTAAACATTCTCGATATTTATTATTAACATAAAGCCATGATATTGATTCTGGAATTAACCTTAAAGAAATTCATTATTCAAAATTGATATTCATCATTTTTTCTTTTTTTATATGTTATTGAAAATACCAACTATATGCGACACTTAAAATCATAGGTATTGTCATAACTAAAGTTAACTCTCTCCATGAATGTATTTTGTAAGCAATACCACCTAAATTCATTACACCAACAGTCCAGTTGAATTCAAAAAATGCAGCTGCTGCTGTACGACTTTCTGATGTAGCTATTTTTATATTATAATAAATATTTGTATATTAAATATGTGCTTAGGTAGTTTTTAAGACTGTTTTACATTTTTTGTTGGATTTTGTTCAATTGTAAATGCTTTAAATAAATCTTAATATATTTTTTGCATATTGTCATGTAGAATCTCTATTTAATATACTATTTAAATTATTAGAAATCCAGCGTTATTAATGATAGATAAGTTTTACTTCTAAAATTACTTCAAATTAATTTAGTGGCTATTAGAATATTGATAGCTAACTTTTTATCTACAATTTATACATACAATAAATTATAATATAATTTTTATACCAGGGTGTATGTACTAGTAGTTAAACTGATTGGTTTTTTTGGTGCTTAGAATATTTTAGATAACGTAGTTTTCATAATTTTCATTCAATATTTTTTCATATTTTAAGTATATTTGTATATTATTATTATTTGTTATAATCGTAAACGCGTATAGAATTGGTGACGTAAAATTTAATTAACAAAATGATTACGCACATAATTTATGATACGCATATTTTGATGATATACAGGTGTTCAAATGAGACACGGCAAAAAGTTCGTTCAACTTATAAATAAAAGAAAAATGTTCTTAAATTTTTTAGAATTAATCATTGAACTACCCACCGTGATATTTAATAATTGCGTGTAAAATGAAGGGGTACGTTTAAAGCTTTAAACTTATTGTACACTGCGTTTAATGATTAAATATGCATTAAAAGTAAACCAAATTATAAAATGTAGCACTCATGAATTTGGAAATTTTTTGCTTTGCTATGCTTTTCATTCTAGCTTACAAATAAATCACGCAGTAACTTAACTAATTTATTTGTATAGTATTGTAGCCAGCCATTTGTATAACAGATTATTAGACACAGATTTTGTGTAGTATTTTTAAAAATATTTCTACTTTATGTATATGTAGGTAAAATGTAACTTATTAAAAATATATTGTATATAATACTATTATATATGAAAAATTTTATATACATATATACATACAATATTCTATAATTAGTGTAAATGTACACATTTCTAATCCTCCAGCGAATATTCCAATTGCTATTCGAAATAATATAAATAATGTTAGACTATTTCCAAAATATAAGCATATTGATAATGAAACAATTGCATACATGCAAATTAAAACAAGTTTTTTTCGACCGACTTTATCACATAAAGTAGAAAATAAAAGTGATCCGATTGTAACTCCAATATAGTATAATGTTGTTGTTAGAGGTCCAATATATTCATTTTTACATACTAATGAGAACTGTATAGAAGAAAGTCAATGGTATTATTATATTTTTAAAATTATATGCATGTAATTTTAAAAACTTACCTCAGAGACAATGGTTTCATCATCAAACGGATCAAATTTATAACTTGTACATTCGGTTGTTGTGTTACCTATTGTACAAATTGAATTTACATCATCCTAAATTTTTTGAAATAAATATTTATTTATAATTTGTTATAAAATTGAAAATTTTTTAAATGATAAAAATTAAATTTTGAAAATTCTTAGGTTTACTTCGAAAAATGTATGTAGAGAACTAGAGCAAGAAGTTAGGAGGCATATATCACCGGGTAGAAGGTCAAATATGAGTAAGAAAGCATTGCTTATAGCTTCCGTTCCACAAAAGATAGGAGCTTCAAACAAACAGTTTTTAAAAACTCTTTTTGAATGCTTTAAATAAAGAATCGCAAATTATTCGGTTTTAGATGTTTTTTCGGAAATACAAGCATTCGAACTTTAGGAAAATTTTATTTTTTTTTATCTTTTATTTTTTTTTTTACTTTTTTTTGTTCCGACAATTTCTCATTAAAATTTTTAAAGCTTTTGAAATTCTCTCTACAGAATTTTGCCCAGCTTCTTCAACTTTAATTTAAATCATAATTTTCCAAAGAAACAAAAAAAAATTAAAACTTCACAAGTTGAAATTTAATAACCACCTTAGACAATTTTCGCTCTCATTATGTAAACATAATATTACTTATTGACTTACAGCACAATAGAATTGTGGGATATATGTATAAAATACTCCAATGGTGTTAATAGTACCAAACGACATTACATTTAAGGACAACACTATTACTAAAAATATTTGAAATCGTCCTTTTTTCTCAAGAAATTCTTCTTTTAATTTCCTTATTTCATCTGGTTGACTCATTTTCACTTAATAAATATTTTTAGCATATTTCAGTTATATTATATAAGCTTTTTAATTTTTTATACTTATTATTGATGATTCGTCACTTATTCGGCGACAAATATTTCATTTCTCATAAAAATTGATTTTACTTTTTTTTTTGTTTTCTTTTTCTCGAATAAACCCGATACGTATCGATGGTCTTACCGTTAATGAAAAAATAAACTGTTGAACTGAAATATTGTAGCCAATATTCAATAAAAAGGAACTTGATAGGAAAATAATTAAATATAAAAAAAAAAGGAAAAGAAAATCAAAGGAAAAAACTCACGAGCAAATACAAAAAAAAATAATCTCTCATTATTTCCAAAAATACAATCTCAGCATATTTAATTATTAGCAGTACTGGAACTCGTTATTTTTTTAGAAAATTTTACGAAGTAACAAAGTTAAAAGCGTTAATGTTATAGTTTGAAATTAAATAAAGTTGGATTGAATCAGTTAGTTTGTAAAGCAAGCACTTTTTCTGAAAAAGTGAAAATAATATTTTTAAAAACAATCTTCAAATTACGTGCTTTATCTCATATACACAAATATACCAAATTTTGCATACATTTAGGATGAGAAAAAAAAATGGAATATTATGGGTTATAATTTCTAGACGTACCTCCCCCATAGGTAAAAATTTTCTTCTATAGAGAAAAAACTTCTCCAGACACTTGTACTCGGACAGAGTTGAAAATTTTTTTTCAATTTTTGATTTGAATTTGGTATTGGTCTGATTGGTTTGGTATTGGTCTGATAATGTGCCTATTTTCATAAAATTATTTTTAAAGGCTTTCTTCTACTATCATACTAACCTGATACAGAAATGATATAATCCATGGTAAATATGATTTTCTGACAAATTTAAGATTTTAGAAACAATAATAACAGAAATTTTTGTTATGTTAACTGTATGATTGCTGTGGTCGTAAAATTCAATATACTTTTTATATAGTCGCAATATAGTCGGTTTTTTTTGGTCAATATACAATGCTCTCACGCTCGGGAGTATATTTTTTCGAGACGCATACAAATAGCATATGAAAACTGAAAAGGCGGACAATCTCGATTACAGGTCGTTTACATTTGATTAAATTTTTTTCTTCGTGTGCTTTTTAGAGTTTGTTTGATTTTGGATATTTTGATACCAATATAATTTTTTGTTTACGCGCTTTGTAATCAATTATGCTAATAATTACTATTAATCGTAAATGAAAATATCATAAATCAGATTTATTATTTTATTGAAATTTTGCAGTTATTGACACCAAAACAAAAACAAAAATATGGAGGTTTATATTTTATTTCTTTTGAAGTCATTTATTTATAGATTGTAAGCATATGCTATACGGATTAATATTGTAATTGACTAGCATAAAAACTGTGAATTATTACACAATAATTATACAAAATCAGTAAAAAGAAAGTTAATTAGTATAAGTTGTACTCGTATTTTGTACATTTTTTGATAGAAATATATATTAAAATTTACTATTACTTATTGTAAAGAATTTTCTACTATCTACAAATTATCGATAATCTGAGACCGCGTATAATTGTGCTGTAATACTGGCGCTTAACTTTAAAAATTTTTCAAATAAGTTTCTGAATTAAATTTATAGTTTTAATTAAATTTGTCTTTTCTTTGGAATACGAGTACATAATAACCTTTGGTTTCTTTCATGCCCTATTATGAATTATGAATAATTTAAATGAATAATTTAAATAGGGAGAGATGTTTGTCTGGAACGACATTTGTTTAAAAAAGATCTTCTTGTTTTTTGTACCCTTACGAATGAATATTCGAAGGCTACTAACAGTTATATAGTCTTAAATACAATATTTGATCAGCGTCATATTTTGGGTCGATTATACTATGTGTCTGTTTATGATTTTCATTTATAACAATTCTATAATTAAAAAGTATTTAAATTTGTATTATATTTTTTTTATTTAATAAAAAAAATTATTTTATTTATTAAAAAATATATATAAATTTGTTACAACTTTCAGTTTTTTTGTTTTTTTTTTTTTCTTTGTTAAATTTTACAACACAACGCTTAAGCTTGTAAATTTTTAATATTATATAAATTACATAAATATATAAAGAATTAAATTTTTATTATATAAGTAATGTTATAAAAAAATTTTTACATACATACATGTATTATTATATATAATATAGAAATATCCAATAAGTTATACGTTAAAAATATAAATTGTCGTATATAAGATATTAGTACATGAATTTTATAGTACAATTATAATTTTTTTAATTAATTATGCATATAAATGATTTTATTATTCTTGATAAAAAAAACTTTTCAAAAATAATATTATTTTAATGATTATTTTTAATAGTAATAATAATAATATTTTTTTTCTTATATTAATTTTTTATATTAATTTTAAATAATTTGGTATTTTAGATTTTTCCACTTATTTTCTAGTATCACATATTTATATTTTATTGATGTATTTTATAATTTATGATATTTTTATGTTGATTTAATAATTTTGTATAATAATATATTGGAATTATTGTTATATATTATAATTATTAATGTGTGTTTATAATTTAAGAAAAAACAAATAAATTTTAATATAAAATGTATATAAAATAATTTGTTTTATAACTTTATGAATTGAAATTGGTTTAAAAAAATATTATTATTATGTATTCTTTACGTTAATTACGTTAATTTCGTTAATTAACATGATGTTTTGTTAATTCAAAATAGCTTATATGTATATAGTTGCAATTATTTTATTAAGTGAATTAATCAGTTTTAATAATAAAATATAAAATAACTTAAAAATAATGAAATATTAACATTAATGTATAATATTAATATTAAAAATATAATTATAAAAGCACATTTCCCATTTTGTATAAATTTCATGTGTATATGAAAGATTTATAAATTATTATTAGTTTTTTTTTTTTAAATTCATAATTAATAATTAAATTAAATTCTAATGAAAAAACAAAATATTGAAGTATCTACATAATTTCGTAAAATTTTTTAATATTATATTATTTTCTTTTTAATTATTTTAATAAATTTATTTAAAATTAATGACTAGAATTGACTCATTCCCTTTGGTTTTGCTGTGTTTATATTTTTATACATAAGAACTTATTACAAAAATAATTATAATTATTTAAAAACTAAATTGAATATTTTGAAAAAAATATAAGAATATTTTTAAAGAAAAATTAAATGTGAAAACAAAATAATATAATATAACAATAAAATTTGATGTGGTCAGCACATAACTGATTGCAAGAGAAAACGTTGGTTGTGATTATGAAAATGTGTTTCATTTTTTTCAAATTTTAAAGACGCTAGTAAGCTTTCTAGTTAATATACCTAGAAAAATGTGAATTTGGGTCTTAATAGAGTTTTATTTTATACTATCCGGATTTCACGAAAAATTCATCTGTTATATTATGTCAAACGAAGCTTATATATAAAATTTAAAGTTAATCTGTTGAATATTTTCTTGAAAATTATTAAAAATATAAAATCGACCCGTAGTAAATAATCAGTTCCCATGATTTTATATATCCTAAAAGTTAATCAATCCGTGATATGACCAAAGTAAATATAACCAATGCGTATCTCAGATATCGGTTTTGCACAGACAGACTGACAGACTAACAGACAGACTAGACTGACAAACAAATTGACAAACAGAAAAACATATAAATTAAATGTAAATTCTTAAAAATACTGTACAAAATTTTATATATTACACAATATTCCGCGCCTATACAGAAAATTAAATTTAGAAAATTTTAAAATTAAAATTAAATATATACGTATACATTTATGTATAAAATATTAACATTGTATATAAAACGTAATTTTTATAAATAAAAAGAAAATTAATTAAAAGGAACGATTTTGTGATGTTGCATTTTAAGAATTTTTAAAATTTTTATTTTGTACACTTAATACGAGTATTAATTAAATAAAAAAAAAAAAATAAAAAATTTATATAACCTATGTAATTATCATAATAATAAATAGTGATTTACCTACATAAATAATTATATAAAATATAAGTAAAGTATTTTTGTTATATAATAATAATGAAAAACGTAAACGCAATCTTAAATTAAACAGGGCGACAAGTAAGTATGAAAATATTAGAGTTGAAAAAGCTTATTTTACATTTTTAATTACATGATGTTTATACAAATTAATTGCATACTTTGAAGTTTTCTTCTAAATTTTTAATACATATTTGATTTTATTGTTTTTTTTTTGTATTTATTAATTAAGGTGGGTCCTTCCGCTAATTAAATACATTTAAATTTTATTGAAAGGTATTTATTTTATGTAAATTTTAAATTAAAATTAAAATTTAAGTATGTATGAGAGAGTTTTGTACTGTTTCAGTGATCGTTGTATATTATTGAAGAAAACAAAAATTAATATCAAATAAAATATTATAATTTAAATATAAAAAAATCATAAAATTTTTTATTATATATATTGAAATATATTTCAGAAAAATATGTGTATTATTACTTTTCTTTTATGCAATAGTTCTTATAGCGACGAAACTTTGGCTTAGGGGTGGTATAAGCGTGTCTTATATATATTTTATATTGTGATAAATATTTGACAGTGTAAGTCATATGATCTTCTTTTGCCAGCATTTTGTATAAAAAAAAATTTTAGGTGGGATAGCGTTTCTTTTTTTTTTTTTAGAGTTTGGTATACATACATATTCTTCTTGGCAAGTTATATAAATTTTCTTAAATAAATGAAAATATTTTATAGTGTTAGTTCAGTTTTTGACTATATATAGAATGACTAGATTTTAAATGAATTATTAGAAAATGACTAGATATTGAATAAGTTAATGAAAGCGTCAAACGAATTTTAAGATTAAGAAATTATTTATTTACTAAATTAATTACTATATTAAATGTATTTAGTTTTTCTGATAAATTAGTATTCCTGTTAAATAGTATTTTATTGTTTACAAATAGTATTCAAATACGAAAGTAATTTTTGGTAAATAATCCAAAAATATATTACATTTAATCATTTATTATATTTCATATTGAATTTTTCAGTAAAACTAATGTGTTTCCGATAATCCTAATTTTTTTAAAAATACTAATAATAGTAGTCTTTGCTAGTATCTTTGGTAGATAGTTAGAAATTTATATTGTATATGAAAAGGATGATTCGAATCTGATGAAAAAATTGAATTTTTAGTAAAAAGTATATTACAATTCAATTTATGAAAATATTATTATTTATTATTAGAACTGTAGTGAATTTTATTCTTTGCTATATTTAAATGTATATATGATGATTTAGTGATTATTTCCGAGTATATATTTAATACCATGAATTTCTTACTTTAAATTAAAAATAATTTTTTTGCAATATAATTTAGAGTAAGCACGTATGAATATTAAAAGAAATTTTCATATTTAATTATAAAAATAGAAAAACATTAATATAAAAAATTTAAATTAACTTTTATAGTATTTTAGTTTTGAATTACGCAGAATTATTTTTTAAGATTTTTCCTTTATTTTTAGTTTAAAAAGTATTGAAAGTTGAAATACTTGGACCTTAAAATGTAATTCGATTTTCGTTTCATTTAACTTGTATGGTACTACCATTTCATTTCTCCAAATAAGAAAATCGTTTCTTGAAAATCGTATTACTTAGTAAGACTTAGTAGATCGTATCACTTAGTAAGTATGATTCGTAAACAAACTCATTTATAACTACTCAAAATAAGTTGTTAATGTTTAGATATCATGAATATATGAAATTTTATTAGACATGAATTTACATAATTTACATAATATAAAAAAAAATAATAAATATATTTTTTAATACATAACCCTATTGATTATATTAATTTACGAATTAAATAAATTATTTCTGTGGTTACAAGAGAAAGTTGTTTCAGAATTTGAAGAAAAATCAAGTATTTAAATTAAATTAACAATTAGAACTTTACAAATTTTGCTATTATGTAGCTTAGTTAACTCAGAAGTTATGAACAATATAATTACGAAATGTCACATTTCTTCTTTCCAAAAAGAAACCAAATTAACCTGATATATCAACTTCAAATTAAATTATGATAAAGTATCGTTTTCTTTTTAATGCAGGTGTCATTTTTAGGGTCATGTGTTCAGATTAGTTAAAAAAAATTTTGACTAACAATTAAAAAAGAAATAGTTAATTGTAAAATTTAAAAATTTTAAAAATTAAACAAAATTTACATAAAATGCTAGTTCCTGCGTGCCATATTTGATCATAATCGATTTAAGTCCCAGTCGAATTACCATCAAATATGGCGTTTTTTATCAAATATCCGAGTTTTGGAATTTTCCTTAAAAAATTTTGAATAATTTAAAGTTCCCATATCGTTTTGTCCGTGCTCGGTCACAATTCGACCCATATATTTCTAATTTGAGACTTAAGTTATATCTAAACTATTTAATGTATTTGGAAAAATTAGTTTTAAATTTAAATTTTTTTTTTTTTGAAACCACAATTTGTTTAAAACAATTTCGTTGTATATAGAAACACTTGCAATTTGCAGAAATTCCACATTATAGTAAACTTATAAGTATTTTGTCCCTTTTTTTGTATTTTCATAACTGATCTGACTAAATTGCACTAATAATCTAAAAAATATATTTTACATAATTGTTATAAACTAAAATTCTCTCAAAAATTTAATTAAAAACAAAATAGGAATAAATGTGTGTTTATTTTGTAAATTAAATTTTTAATTATATACTTTGTAAGTAGATAATTAATGACTAGAATATTGGACCGTAAAATTAATAATTCTATATTATATGAGTATACCTATTAATAATAATGAAATGAAATTATACAATAAATTACAATATTATTATTAAAATTTTTTTTTGGCAGTGTTATAGCTGTGTTGATAAAGTATTTAAAAATTAAAAGTATTTTTTTCATTTCGAATTCATTTAAGCTGTATTTGAGCTTAAATGAGTTTTATTAAAAGATATAAAGGTGCCGCGGGTTATTATTAAAATCATAGTTGAGTAATTAAAAAAAAAAAATTATGTTCAAATTTATTATATAATGCATGTACGGAGAAATTTTAAAATTTTATTGTAAATCGTGTTGTCTTGCAATATATAAGAAGAAAGAATATAATCTTTTTCCTTAGCGACACCTTTTTGGATATTATTATATTTAAATAATAGTATAAATGTATAAAATATATATAATTATAATTATAAACTAAAATGCATGGATTTATTCTATTGTATTTAAAAATAAAATTTATGAATTAAATATATAATTTGTAAAACTATTTAATTTTATTTAAAATTATGAATTATACATATTTAATTAAAATTAAAATTAAATTTAATATATTTTATGTAATTTTAGAATTACTGTTATTATCTTAATCGAATGTAGAATGTAGATACTTCAATTTGTTTTCTATTTATAATTTTAATTAAAATTCTATTAAATTAAAATTAAATGTGACTAGTGAACTCATCGTTTTGAATATGCGATATAAATAATTTACAAAAACATTTATCGTTTTTAAAACAAAAATAAAACTATCGAGTAATTTATCTTATAATCGGAAATTTCACTTGCAATTTAGTTGCAAAATCAAATTTTAAATACCGTCAACTACATATGTATTAAATGCTAAATAATTTTTTTAATTTCTGTGATTTCAAAATTACAATAATTATCTATTGCTACACAACTTGACTTTCAAAATGGAGTAATACGGTATTAATACACAATTCAGCTTATAAGTATGAATTGCTGAATAGTGTATTAATAGGTTGTAAATCGATTTCTGAAGTCAGGGTTTGTTATTTCAACGCATATAGTTGTACACAATTGATTAATGTTTTGTAAATGAAGCATCCGGTTATGTGTTTATAATTTATTTAATTTCGAAAAATTAATTGAAATTATATTTTATTTATAAAAAAATGTAAGGTTTAGTATAATTTCGTTTTAGTTTTTGAATAGCTTTAGTATATATAGCTTTAGTAAAAAATTAAATTTTTGGAATAGAATTAAGGAACCATGATATCGGAATTGCATTAATAATATCATGTCACTATATAATTCAGCAATTAGTGCTTTTAAGCTGAATAGTGTGTGTAGTAATATAATATTAATATTATTCCGATGTCAAGGAAAATAATATTCTTAGTTTCCTTATTAAAGCGCTTAATATAAATATTTTAAATTTATTTTAATTTTTTCGTATAAAAAATATCTTTTTTTTTTTAAGAATATCGATCGATTTTAATAAATATTAATATTAATTTTTAAATATGTTATTACGTATGTAAAAAATATTTTTATTGAATAATGAAAATTAGCTTTAAGCCGTATAAATTCTTTGTTTTTTTTTTTTTAATTTTATATATTATATACCTATATGTAAAATCTATTATTATCATTTTTAATGCGTTTCTTTGATGTATGTTGTATATATTTGCATAATTTGTATATAAAACGAATAAAAATATATTTTGCATTTAAGAAATTATGTATATATATTTATGAATATTTATAATATTTATGTTAACTTATGTTTTAATAACTCACCTGAATACTAAGTATATATATTGTAAAATTAATTAATTTTAAATAAAAAAATAAAATCAAATTCCATTTTAATATACCATTGTTGCTGTAGTATGTTGTATTACTGATGGCCCATTTCTTAAATGTGCTAAAGCTGCTGCAGCAATATTTTCTTCTTCAGTTAAATTATTATGTTCATCAATAATTTGCAGGCGACCTGGTGATGAACAATCAGAACGTGTGTCTGAATATTCTGAATCATATTTATTATTTGCAATTATATTATTATTACCATATAATGTAATATTATTATTACTATTATTATTATTACTACCATATTGATTATTATGATAATTATTTGAATTATTTGAATTATTTGAATTATTTGTTAATATTGAATTTGTTATTGATTGTCTTGAATGATTTGTACTACTATCTTCAATAATTGAATTTGATTGATGACTTGAATTTGAATTTAAATTTTGATGTGAAAATTCATCATCATCTTCTAATTCGGATAATGAATTTTGATTATGATTATTTAATTTTTGAATTTTTCTTCTATTACCATTATTATTATTATTAAGTTTTGTTGTTGTTGTTTTACGTTTTATTGATTCTTCTTTATGTTTATGTGTTGTTAAATGTTTTCTTAAATATGCTTGACGTTTAAAATTTTTACCACATTCAATACATGGATATTGTTGTTCATTTTCAGAATTTTCTTGTTGTTTTCTTAAAACTTCTTCTTTTGGTTTATGCCAACGACGATGTGATGCTAAATTTGCTGGACAATTAAATCGTTTACCACATTCGGGGCAACGATATTCTAAAAGTACAATACAAGAGCAACGATGACGTGCTAATCCGAAAGCATCATCAAATTCAATACGACATAATTTACAAGTATATGAACCAATAATATTTCTAATTTGAGCAAGTTCTTGTTTAGCTTCTTCAGTTACTTCAACAATATTAAATTCTGGATCGATATCACCAGATTGAATTTCTTCACCAGAATTTGTAATCTCTTCTAGTGGACGTATAATTGTTCCAGAAACTGGTGAACTAGTCTCTTCGTCAAATTTTAATTTTCTTATTGCTTTTGTTGTTTTCTTTTCACGACTCATATTTAGATTTGTTTTACCAGTTCTTGGTGCCGAATTTGTTATTTTTATCGGTTTTGTTGGTGTTTTTTCTTCATTTGGAGCTGTTGTAGATGTATTATTATTAAAAGATGATTTTTCTTTTATTGTTTCGTTTAATTGTTCTCCTAAAATTTTTGTAATTTTTAATGAACTTATTTCACTGTCACTTGATTGATAACCATCATCACGAAAACGTTTTTTTGGTGGTGATGGAGGTGGTGTTATCGGATGTTGATTAAGTGTTTTATAATTATTATCAATTATTTTATCAGGTTTTTGTAGCTCTATTTCATTATTATCAATTTTTGTAATTGAATTCAATTGTTTTTGTTCATTTTGTTGTACTCGTAGAAAGGCACAATCATCCTGTTTTACAGTTAAATCTAATGGGGTTTCTAATAATGCTGCTCTAGCTAAATAACGTATTTTATATTTTGGTGGTAATTGTGCTACAGTTGTTAATAATCCAAGGCCAGATGTAATATGATTATTTGTTGCCATTTTTTGATAATTATTGATATTTGAATTTGTACTACTGACTGACATTAACATATTATAAAATATAATGTTTTTTTTTTTCAATTTATATATTTATGTATATGTGTATAAGTCTCTATATTTTTTTTAAAAAAATATTTTAAATAATCATATTAAATTGTAATTAAATCTTAATAATTCGATATTGAATTTTTACATATTAAAGCACTTTAATTCACAATATTTTTTTTTTCTTATAAAATTTTTTGTTATTAAATATTAGTTATACTTATTATTAGAAAATATTATCCTTTAATATTAGAATTATCTAAACAGGTACTAAAATTAAATACCTATTCGTTTCGTTGACACAATTTCAAAAGGCAATCTTTAATAAAATAGAGCTTTAGAAAAGCAAAACAAAACTAAAATTGTTCATTTTCAATTAATTTTCAAAAATATTCGAAAGAAGACGCGTACATATTTACGCGTTATCTTTGTATTTTATTAACTGTAAAATTGTTTTTTTAAAAAATACATAAATAATTTTTACAAACAAAACTTACAAAAAAAAAAAAATAAATTTTCCAAGCACAAAACTTTATATTCTCTTTGAATAGAGTATGATCCTTTCTCAGTCGCGGCCAAACATTGAATGACGAATGCATTAACAGGTCCTTCAGTATTTATGCATAAAAAAAAATGTTAACCCTCTATATAAAATTTCAAATATATAGAGAACTTAGCAATTCATTCAATCTTTGTTTGTAACCTGAAATATAGATACACACACACAAATGTACCGTAAACAGTCAAGATAAATATCGTAAACAAAAAACAAAAAAAAATATTTTGTTTGATGTTTTCATTTTTTTTTCTATATCCTTAAAAATATCCTTTTATAGTATACTATTATCGTATGTATATAGTAAAAATTTTACTATAACTCGTAAATACAATCAAATTTTTACAAATATCCTTATTGTAATATTGTAAATAAATGGATTTTATGATTGTATATATGTTACATTTTATCATAAGAGTATGTGTGTATGAAAAATATATTTGAACAAGTTCGATGTGTGTACCCACGTACACGCATATATATTTATGTAAATACATAAGAAATTTCGAAATTCGAAGCTATGGTTACCCTAATATAATTTCTTTGCTTTTCAAATTTTTTTTTTTTTAAGTCAAATTATTCTTCATTATTTGCTTAGAATACTTTACGTTTTTTTGTATTTGATACAATGATAAACAAGCAAGTTTTAATAGGACACAATTATGTTTGTACGTTGATTATTCATTAGATATTTTGAACCAATCGTTTTGCGCTTGCGTATATATTAGGGAAGATTATAATAATATTTTTATAATAGGGAAAATGCACATTAGGTTACACACTCAGGTTATTTACGTACGTATTAGATAAATTTTAAAATTTGAATGTATGTGTTTAAAAATATTTTAATATGATAAATATATAGGGTAGCTATTTTATTATAATGTCAGATCAATACTTACTTGAATATCCTTAGAGGTGTTTTAAAAGATTTTGAGAAAAAAAAATGTTAGTACTCGTATTGCTTTTTTTTAAATAATAATTTTTTTTTTTGTTTGTGCTTGCGTTGTTACGGCAGAATGAACAGGAATAAAAGGTGACGATTTGTGTTTTATGCTTTTATTGCTTTTTGTTTTTTTGGGAAATATTCCTTAATATACGTAAATCTTATCATACCTTTTAAAAATTCAAAAATGTTCATTGTATAGCTAGTACTGAGTACTTTAAAGTTAATACTCATGAATATATAAAGTTAATACCATAAATTGAAGTTATAAAACTCTTCTAGCTTAACTGGATTATTAATACTTCATTACAGAATCTAACAATTAACGTTTATTATACGTAAGCTATATAAGTTATTTAACTGCATATACAAATATTATATTTACTATACAAGAATTTCGATTTGGGGGACTGGAGTCTAATGCAACTAAATTCTTCAATTGTAATTATTTAATTTTATAATTAAAAACGAAATTTAAAACATTTAATACCTTTATATATCAATAATTTGTTTTTCTAAATCAACTTGCATGCAACCAACTTGAATGCAAATAATCTGAATTTTATCTTATTTTTGAATATCTACATACATATTGTGCATTGTATGTAGATATATTCACAAAATAAATTTCTGAAAATAAAATAGATAGAAAATTTTTCAACCCAAAAAGTATAGAAATAGTGTGACTTTGTTTTTTTTTTTTTAAATTTAGCCCCTTATATTTATTTTATTGTCATTAACGAAAACTTGTTATTATGCTTATGACAACTCATAGGTTACGAAAATTTTATTAATCTAGCCAAATAAAATGTTCTCCCTATATATATTCCATTTATATTCAAACAATATATACATACACACATACATATTATATTAGGTATAAAGGTATATAAAATATTAGCGGTATTTATACAAGTGTAACAAATACATTAACATTAGATAGAGAAAGAGAGAGTGAAAAAATGAAGTTACAAAAAAAAAAAAAGAAAAATTTAAAATAAAAATTATGTGAAATAGTTGTTGTGTCGTGTGTTACTTAAAATATTATTGCAAAAGGACACGCGACTTCACTTTGTTTACGCTTTCATTGGCACGTGCTGATCTTATATTACTTGTATATAAATTTTATTGTATATTGTATGGATGTATATGCATATGTATAAGTGTATTTTCTACTCTTTTATAAAATATTTTTTTTTTGGCTTGTTATTATGTTTTCAATAGTTAATTTTTATACACGTTTTCTTTTTAAATAATTTAATTTTTTTTTTTATATTTTATGAATATTATACAACTTATTTAAATTTATTAATTTACAGATGTGTTGATATTTTTATATTATATCGTATATAGAAGGATAATATTTATATAGTTAAATAATTTATGAGAAATTGCATAAGTATTGCCATAGAAATGTGTGTGATGATGATTTGTCCGTATGAATTTTTGTTTAAAATTGAAAATATAGAATTATAAAATGCAATGTACCAAATTTTATAGGAAAAATGGCTTAAATTAGGTCATATTGTTTAATATTTTTAAAAAATAAAAAATGTAATACAGGAAAAATGGCGTCTACACTTTTACGATATCCTTTTGTATGATATCTAAAGATGAGAAAAAATTTATTACGATATTATAAAAATGATAGCGTTTATAATTTAAAAAATTTTATTTCTTTTTGGAGAAAATGATTAACTTAACTAATGATTTACTAATAAACTTAAATTTTGTTTTAAAAATCAAAAATATTCTCGAATTATAGAATATAAGTGCTTATACATATGTACATGTACGTTTATATGATAAAATATTTGGTTTTGTCAGAGTTAAAACTAGTTAACATAAATAATCTTTTCGAAATTTTCGAAATTATAGCTAATTTTCGAATGCATTATGAATGTGTTACTTTTAAGGGCGTAGAATATGCCTAATTATTCTTTACAATATCAGCTACAACAAAATTGTAGATCATTGCAGTTTCCGAAAATTTATTCTGAAATAGAGAGTTTCAATATTTTTATATAAAAAACAAAATTTTAAAATATATTTATAGGCTAGTTTATACTTTTGTCTAACAAAATTTCTCTACAGAATAGCGTTTTTTCTTAAAAATTAAATAATTTTAGTGCTTTGTTCATATTAATTTGTGTGGCATCTTATTTTATTTAATTTCTGATTCTTTTAATAAGAGAACTGTTTTCTCTCAATTCTTCAATAATTTTTATGTAAATAAAAATCAAATAAAATTAATTTTAATCCTTACTTAGAGATTATTTTTTTATTTAAACGGTTACATGGTTATTGTTTTTGTAAAGTATATGTGTTTAATTTAACATCCTTAAAAAGAATACAAACATAAAATGTCCTATCAGATACATATCTTTAAATATTAATATATTTAGGGGTGTGTGTGTATTGTGTGCGAAAAAATTTACTTTTAATTAAAGGGAAATGAGAAAAAAATTTAAAACGATAAAGGGTGATTTTTTTATTATTCTATTTTTTTGCACAAAAACAACAAAACTTGTGATTGTCAAAATTATAAGAAAATGAAAAACGTAATCCGCACCCAATTACGTTGCATTTATAACAACGTTCCATACTATAGACATAATGCATACATAAATACATATGTACGACTATATACGTAATTGCAAGAATATTTTTATATGGAAAAAACGTATAACGCATTTAGGACAAAAACAATAAACAGATAATAAAAAACAAAAAAAAAAAATTTTTTTTTAAAAATTAGAAAAGGAAGCTGTACTCCTGTACTCGCAACCATTTTTCTATTCTATTGCCTATTTTTTATATAGGTTATGTCCGCAAGGCAATTTAATACATACATATTATATAAAATGATATTTTTTTTACATACATACATACATAAATATAAAAGTATATAAATATATTTTTAGTATGATATCAAAATAATCAATGAGATACGTTAAAAGTATAAAATAAAAAATCTAGTAAAAATTTTTTGGTCGACCTTAATCGACAGTACTATACCCTATAGACACGACAGTACCTACCCTATCTAAATCTTTATGATTTGTTATATTGAATATTTTACATGTATTACATATTGGAGTTGTATGACAGCATAGCAGTAGTTCTCGTTTCTTGCAAGGAAAGAAGCGACTTTTGGATTTTGATGGTGCAATCGGACGGACGGGCACATGGACAGATATGTCTAAATCAACGCAGAATTTCAAGCTGATTAGTAGCAAATGTGCTCGTGGTCATACTGCAGACGATCCCTTCAACTAAATCCCAACTCTACGCCAAAGTTAATATATACCATTAACTAAGGTGTAGGGTATATTAAAAGTAAAATGTTTATATAAGTTTTAATATTTATATTTTTTACTACACGAGTCTTCATAATTTACTATAAAAATATATATTTCACTTTTTAATATAATTTTTGGGTAAGTGTATATA